CCTGTTTTTATGAGGAGTTGAAATTGCAATCCTTCCTACCGTCGTAAGTATTTCCTGGTATCCTACCTCTTCCAAGTCGTTCAATCCCGCCGTCCCTGATACATTTCCGAGCTCTTCAATTCAAATCCTCAGTTCACTCTCGCAATAACCGCTTCTGGTCTTTAGATTTAAATAAAGTGGCCCACCGAACCGCTGCTTTCGATAGAGCTTTCATTATTACGGAACTCCATCCCATGTAGGGATACATCCGTCGCTCCATTACCCTCTATACTTTTAAATGCCGCCTATTCAATCACTTCCTTTCCATCCAGTCCCCATAAAATTGTAAATAAATATTTCTGTAAATATGTATATATATATCATTCATTTGTTTTGAATGATTTAATTTTATGTTTCTTTCATTTATTTGTCATTTTTTGTTAATTGATTAAAGTTAGAAGATAACTTTACGGGTTTTTTTTCTAATATATTTATCTGTTTTTTTTGTTTTTTTGTTCTTGGTCCTCCCCTCCCTCGTCTTTAAGGCTATACGGGATTTTCCCGGGCCAGGGAGTGTGGGCGGGAATTTAAAAGACTCCCCCGGCACCGCGACGCGAACTCGTGACTATATTTTATCATAGTATCGTATATCAGGTTGCCGGGCAACGGCGGTGCTGTACACACACGTTAGTCCGTACGGCGACCCCGCCCCTATTATGTTTATCTGAGGCTCAAAGCCCACATTACTGTTCTCGTTTATTATTCTAAAGGGACTCGCTCCAGAATAAATAAAGTATTATTATTATTAATATCCGACCATTTTATGAAAGATCAAGTTTAAATAATTTCCGTCTAGCAAACACAAACGATATCCGAAATTTGTGATCCATATCATGGATTCCTATCGTCAGTTGGGGGAGGGGGGGAGGAGAGGTGAGGAGGAGGGAGTAGGAGGAAGTGAGTGATTTGGAAAAGGGGGAGGCACGAAATAAAAAAGATGGAGGTGTAGAAGGGAAGGAAGTGAGGGGTAACAGGTAGTTATTGTTTCAAGTGGTTGACCTGAGCGAATTGGGGCAGAAGTGTACCCGGTACTAGCACTCACCGATCGATCTCCGCTAGATCCTTTGTAGGCTCACTGATACGTTATATAGTGGCTAATGACGGGTAGCCTTATCTAGGCGGCATGTTCTATAAAACTTCTCAAGTCTGCAAATTTAGGAAAAAGTACATTCATAATTCTGAATCCATTTGTTGAAACATATTTTGAGATTTGTTTTTCTCGAACTTTATATTTAAAAAATCTGGTGCGCGTAACACGACTTTCACTTAAGGCTATACTTTGAATAGAAATCTTTTTCTGGCAATGTTGGGCTATTGTAAAATTTTTTATGTGTACTTTTAACCGAGCTAAAGCTTAAAGTTTACAGATAACAAAACACTAATACCAATAAAATAACAAAAAAAAAATCCAATATATTATATTAACGGTTGATTATGGATCGTACGATCCGTTGAAAATGGATTGTTCGACTATGAGTTACTAAACTGCTATTATCCATTGCAAAGTTCTCTGAAATGGAATTAAGATATTTGTATTGCCTGTCATAGATAGGTCAAAAGTTGTCACACTAATTGTAAGTGGACACTGTTGGGATATCATAAAGGGAAAATTCTACAAATTTTTCTCTAATTTAATTTTCTAAAAGGTTACATGATGATTTTTCAAAGCTTATATCTTTTGTTTTGGTTTTTGAATTTTGAATGTGTTACTTAGGTAATGCTAATTGTTTTAGCATATTACTAATGATTAAAAAAAAAGTTTAGTCCAATAATTGGAATCACCTTTTATTTTTAACTAGGAAGGTAATGATACTTTAGATGAATAATTGTTATTAAAAAATAATAAACCATTGTGAAATAATTTCCAGCGTTTTTTATATACAATACATATTTTTGACTGGTTAATATTCATTTTTAATGTTATTATTTGTTGCATAAATGTGCTAATGTCTAATACTAAATCATCTGAAAGGATATTTTATATGTTTTTTTTTCAGATGAAAATTCAAAATATATCGTAAAAACAGATTTTATCCCGGAAGAGGCGAAAATTTGGATATATTTAAAATATACTTTTTTTAATTGTTGAGACTAAAAAAACCTTTTTTCTACAGATATTTAATAAAGTATCTTTCATAAGCAATAAGTACCTAAATTTATACTTTTATTCACCGTTCTATATTTCAACACTGCAATCACCACCTCCGGAATCAACTTACTCACTGTCATAGATAACTTTTCAACTAAAAATATCACTAAAATGACATTATTCAAAAATGTTGAAATTGGAGTTAGTCATTCTGTGGTTTATAAAAGCAAAGAAAGTTGTGTGGTTTATAAAAGCAGATGGAGTGAGTAAATTTTTATTGCCTACCGTCGATATATTAAATAGACATTTTGTAATTATAATGGTCTCAGTGACTTGTTATCTGTAAGCTTTAAGGTTTATCTCTGTTTAAAATGCACTTCATAAAATTGTATAACAGCCCAGCATTGCCAGAAAGTAAGTTCTATTCAAAGTAGAGCGGTAAGTGAAAGTTGTGTGTTGCGCGCACCAGATTTTTTTTTACAAACAGGTGTTTCTAAGATATTTAAATTTCTTAAGAAATAAACAAAGTTTCGTCGAAATCGGAGCACTGTCGATCCCATAAAGATATCGCGGGTTTTAAATGTTTTAGTTATTATTTCCAATAAGCAACCTCTGTAATCGATGGTCATTTTAAAGTTTACGGAATAAAAAAAAAAAAATGTTCAAATAGGACAATTTAATACAAAGATATGTTGTTCTAAATATTTTCCACAAGTTCTGCCACTGTTATATAAATATGAATGGTTTTTTTAAAAGCTTGCTAAATTTCTTTAAAAAAAAAAAAAATCGGACAATTAGGAGCAAATATGTGGTTGGTCTCTAGATGGTTTTTATGTTCTACTGCAAATCCTTTGTTTAGGGTTATGATTTTTGAATGTGTTACTGATGTGCTATTTTTTTTTTACAAATTACTAATGATGATAAAAAAATGTTTAGGCAAATAATTTGACATTTTATTTCCTTTAATTTGTGACTAGAAAGGTATTGTTACTTTAGATGTATAATTGTTGGGGAATAATGAACCATTGTGACATAATTTGCAGCGTTTTTTTTTTGTAAGGAAAGCAATAATTAATTGAAGGAGAAATAATAGATCGTAACGGAGAATAGTTGTAATAAAGGAACCAAAAGAATAGGAGCGTGCCCGGGCTCATCCGTAATATTGGAACCGACTTCCATACGTAACATGAGTACATAATATAAAACGGAATCCAACAATACTATGTAGGTTTATGCCATAAATGCCATAGTAAGTATTATTTAATATTTAATTGTATATATTACAGCGATATAAATATTAAAATTTGTATACAGGGTTTCCAAAATATTTTAAATAGAGGAAAATATTTAAAAAGCTGATAGTAGTAGATCTAAAAAAAAGTTCATATAAACAATTGTCCAATTACCAGCAAAAAATTTAAGATTCGTGTTTTTTTTATGCCTCACGTTTTTTGTTGAATAGGAAGCGACTACTTAAAAAATATTTGATATAAATATCTAAACATTCCTCCATAGTAAACAAGACAAAATTTACTTTAAACGAAATTAGAGTTTGCCATTGTAAAAACTATTTAAAGAGGATTATTGAGTGCACTCAAAATTTTTCAATATTTTTTTTTTTAATTTTTCCTATAAACCTCAACTTAATTAATATGGACTTAAAAGCTTATTAAACGAGGAAGTCTTCCTAAGAGTGGGTTAAATATAGTACAGTTTAAGGATGATAAAAAAAAAATCACAAATAATTTATAACTTATTTTTAAACGGGACTTAGCTGTGTTTGTCCCCTCAATAGCCCTCTTTAAATGGTCTTAACAATGACAAACTCGACTTTCATTTAAAACAAATTTTGTCTAGTTTACAATGGAGTAACGTTTAATTACTTAAATAAAATATTTTTGAAGTTATCGTTTCCTATTCAACAAAAATTGTGACTCGCTTAAAAAAGCACAAATCTTAAATTTCCTAATTTTCTGTTGGAAATTGGTCGATTGTTTATGTGAACTTTTTTTTGTAGATCTTGATGTCTGCTATCAACCTTTTAAACATTTTCCTCTACTAATGGGACACTCTGTATATAAATAAGGGTTCTTAAATAAAAATACCAACAACCAAATATAAATAAATATAGGGACTATAAGTTTTACTTTCACTTTCCTTTGTCTGAAAATACTTATTTGTGCTAAGAGGGTGGTAAGTGCAAGTTGTGTGATGCCCACACTAAAACAGATTTTTATTACTTTTTTTTCTTTGTTTTGTTCTTCCCTACCTCGCCTTTTAGGTTGTACGGTTTTTTCCCAAGCAGGGGGGTGAGGGAGGAGAATTTAAAATCCCCTTCGGCACCAGGATGTGAACTGGCACTTTTTAAATCTTTTCAAATCTATAATCGGGTTGCCAGGCAACTCGCGGTGCTGTGCACATGCTTTAGCCCATTCGGCCACCCCGCCCCCATAGATTTTGATTGCGTATGATTAAAAAAAAAAAGTTCTTAATTAAAATCATCATATGGTTTTTAAAAATTTTGATCAGATTTTATTTTTATAATTACCGATTTCAAGCCCTGATTTCTGAGAAGAACGAATCCTATTTTTAAAAAATAAAGGAATAAATTTCAATAAATCTTTGATCAATTGGAAGTGATGTAGATATATAAAAGTATTGAAAACCGAATATGATGCAGTTTTGTGGGTATTTACTCGAAAGAAGGATAATATGAAACAGAAGGGTCGAGAAAAGGCTAATGATTACATCCCAGATTTTTATGGAGTTGCATATTTTTTTTCATGCATCTTTTAAACTTCTTATTAAAGAATAATACATTTTAATTCCAATCTAGATATAAATGAATACCTACAATGAAAAGGAAAGGAAATAAAGTCAATAGTCATATTTATTTATTTATTTTAAAATTTATTTTTCTTAATATCAGAACACTTAAAAACTAGAACAATTGACATGACAATTATTTAAATAATATTTCTTTAACCAAATGGAATTATGCTTGGATCTAATTCTTCTGAATAATTTTAACTATGGGACAAGATTCTTTCGTTTTATTAAAACAATAATTAAAAAATTAGAAATTAAGTAGATTCGTAGCACCTCAAGGCCCTAATACACTACCTCCGGCCAATAAGGGGTGATAGCAAAATATAGATAATTCATAATTCTATTGTATCATTATTGATAATTTGCTCAATCAAAGTTCTTTAAACCTAATTTTTATCAATATTAAAAACACACTAAAAATTATTGTAAACTGTAAATATATTACAGAACAATAACATTAAAAATAAACATAGATATATAAGCCCAAAGTTATAAGAATAATCTTTTTAACAAACTTACCACTAAGACCTTAAACGTAAAACCCTTGGACTGTATAATTATTTAGTCCCTCGTTTTGTCCCGCAGCTTTTTTCAGAGAATCGGATGTAATTTTCTCCTTACAAATTCTTATCCAATCAAATGCTACATTCCTGAATACTTAACAATTACTTTTTTTCTCCACATATCAAGTCTCATTAAACCTAGGCATACAATAAACCTCACTATAATATCAAGCCTTAAGACCGATTGCTTAGTGTAGTAAAGTGGTATTATTGTCAATGAAATTCGATAAAGTGGTTTTATTTTGAAACTGTTCTAAAATAATATATTTGCAATGCGGTGAGATTTTCTTGATAAATAGATTTTGTTTGGCTTTGAGTACAACATGTATGAGGTGCTAAGGCTTACTGTACCTAGTTACTAAAAATTTAACACATAGAGCAAATTAAAAAAAAAAATGGAATGTATCTTAACATGCTCTATAGTTTTGTCTTGAGGTCTCTGTTAACATTTCACTATCTTACTTTTGAGAAAAAAGGAACTTTGCTATTTCAGACTTGATATTATTCATATAACCCAGAATGCTTATATCTAATATAAAAAACATACTCAATGAAAGTTAAAACTACAAGTTCAGATTAAGATTAATAAAACACACACAAGTAATATTAATAATAATAAAAACACAATCAAAGTAATATTAAGAATAATAAAATAAACAATTAAAGTAATATTAATAATAATAAAACAAAGAATCAACGTAATATTTAGAATAATAAAATAGACAATTAAAATATTAAGAGCAATAAAATGCACAATTAAAGAAATATTAAGAATAATAAAATACACAATTAAAGTAATATTAAGAATAATAGAACACACAATCAAAGGGACATTAAAAATATTAATAACAATACAAATCAATTAAAGTAAAAACTACAAATAAATTCAAATCTAGATGAATTTGAACTCCTATCATCGTAAGGTCTTCCAATCCAGAATAAAGAGAGAATTGTAAAATTATCAAATATAGAAATATAGAAAAGTATCAGTCTTGTTATGGTAGGAAAAGATCACAAAATTGAAGAAAATAAGAAAGTAATAATTAATGGTCAAAACAAAAAATTATTTCCAGTTGTTAGTCTGCATCATGGTCTTTAACAAACAAAGTATAAAATAATGGTCCAAGCACTGCAATATTCTTTAACATAAGAAGTCTCATAGTTTCAGTGTATTGTTTGGGTGGTCTAGCAGCAGATAGGTCCCGCCACATCACACCGTTTGCATCACGCGTGAACAAAGCTGGTGAAGGTACATGGTCTCTAAGATAGTTCCATACACAGTCCCGCAAAAGTACATGCACCTATAATAATAAATATAGATAACTATAATTTATAATTATAATAATAAATTTTAGATAATTATAGATAACATAAAAATACCAGAAACTCAAAAAGAAACATATAGATTGCTAGGATATAATTGGAAGATGCCAAACACTATGGCCTAGGTCACAGGTGGAAAACCTGTGGCCCCTGTCAGTTAGTGTGTGATATTTAATAATCCAAAGCTAGAATTAATTAATATTTAATTAGTTTGGATATAAAATTTTAAAATTGATAGGATTAAGTTGTTCATATGAGTGTAATTTGTATTTACTTATAAATAAAAATAGCAATAATGAAATATAAAAAATTATTGAGGCCTCTAATGTATTATGTCTAAACTTACTGCGGCTCCTAGCGGTAAAAAGGTTCTCCACCTATGCCTTAGGTCAATAAAATATCAGTTATCAACTAACCAGTCTTTGAGCAGGAAGTTTGTTTCAATTAATAGTTAAAGCTTTATTTACTATGTACTTTCATCGACTGCAAACCGAACCAACTTCTGAAGAACAGTACATTTTCTTTAAATAGTAAAAAGCATACTGAGTTTGTAAAAACTATTTAATGATTTTTCCATTTGGATTGTCATTAATAACTTTGTCATGCTATAACTTTATCAATTGTTCTTGATCATGTACTCATCAGGTGTATGAAACATGCATGTATAGTTAAAACTAAAGGAGGCTATGTTCCCTAATATTTTTACTTTCACTTACCTATATATGTATACGTAATAAAAATTTTTGAATCTGAGTTTTCAATAGAAGTACGTGTTTTGAGATCTCCTGAGTTGAAATAACCCAATCCCGCAAAATGGTCTGTATGTGTGCGTGTGTGGGTGTGTGCGTGTGCGTGTGTGTGTGTGTGTGTGAACAGCATAGCTCAAAAATGAAAAGTCGCACGAAACTGATATTCAGTATGTAAGGTTTGTAATCTATGGCTCTGAAGTGACTGCAACTTTTTCATTAAAATCATTAAGAAAAAAAAGAAAAATGCTTATCCAGGTCGAAAATGAATCTTCAGAAATAATAGTCAGAAGGTATACATATAATATATCGTAGGAAAGAGGAGAATTTTAGAAAAAATAATATCTAATAAATAAAGTTGTTGAAGATAACAGAGAGTGACTAAAAAAATATAGATAATAATTTCTAAAACTAACATAGTTTACAATGAAAATCTTGAAACTCCAGTTTAGTAAACTTTGCAATGAAAAATGGCAGTTTAATAACTAATAGTCGCACAATCCGTAATCAATCGTTGATATAATAAATAGGATTTTTGTAATTTTAATGGTATTAATGATTTTTTAGCTGTAAAATTTAAACTTTAGCTTAATTAAAAATGCACTTCAAAAATTTCATAACAGCCCAACATTGCCAGAAAATGTTTTTTCTATATTTTTTTTTACCATTTTTCAGCAAATAGTAAAAAATCAATTTTTTGAATATTCCTCTTACTAAGGACTACAACAAATATGACAAACATTATTTCTTAAGAAAGAGACAAACATTATTTGTCAGTTATTACTGATGTTTTACTTGCTGAACTCTACAAGAACGGAGGTGAGGAGCTGATGAAGAGACTTCAGAATTTTATCTTAACCATCGGGGAGGAAGAGGTTTTACCAGAAGATTGGAAAAAGTCAATCATATGTCCTATTTTCAAGAAAGGGAACAAAATCCAATGTCAAAATTACAGAGGTATCTCTCTTCTCGCTTGCAGATATAAAATCATATCTAACATCCTGTTCCAGCGTCTACCAACCTTTGCAGCACAGAATCTTGGTTTCTACCAATGTGGATTTAGACAAGGTAGATTTACAACAGACCAAATATTCTGGCTCCGAACAATCCTTGAGAGAGGTAATGAATATCCAATTAAAACCCACCATTTTTTGGTTGACTTCAAGGCAGCTAGCTTACGACAGCATTGACCGGGAAGAACTGTACCAGACACTTGAAGGATTCAATATCCCTGGTAAACTAATACAACTGATAAAGCTGACCATGAGAGAAGTGAAGTGTACTCTACGGGTTGGTGGGCAAAGGACAGAAGAGTTCTCCTCAGGAAAAGGACTTCATCAAGATGATGCGTTAGCATGCCTCCTGTTTAACTTGGCACTTGAGATCGCAGTGAGCGATTCAGGTTTGCATACTGACAAGTCAGTTTACAATCGGATGGTCCAGCTGTTGGCCTACATGGATGATGAGGACATTGCAATCAATCAAAGAGTGATTTTTAGCTCTGTTGGAGGCCGGCAGAGCACTTTGGCTGGAGGTGAATAAAAGAAAAACCAAGTATATGACCACAGGAAAAGTCCCCCCACCTGGCGAGACTATCAATATTGGCCTCTATAATTTTGAGAAAGTGGCCTAGTTCACATATTTGGGGTCACTGGTGGATCACGATAACATACCTGAGGTTGAGGTGAAGAAAAGAATACTGATGGCCAACAGTTGTTACTTTGGCCTCCACAAGGAATTCACCTATCACCTTCTATCTCGTAGGACCAAGCTTCATCTCTATAAAACATTTATCTGCCCAGTTTTATTGTATGGATCAGGAATATGGACAACTAGCAAGAAAATTGAACAAGCTCTCCTATTTTTCGAAAGGAAAATTCTTTGAAGGAATTCATATTGATGGAGGCTGGAGAAGATGGATAAATATCGAAATTTATTCAATTTTTGGTGAAGAAGATATTGTTCTAAAAATTAAGCTTGGGAGATTTAGATGGACTGGCCACTTGGTTAGGATGAATGATAAAGCAATCCCTAAAAAGGTTCTGATGGAACCTCTCCACGTCATTAAAAGAAGGAGACCAAAACTCAGATGGTGAGATGGTGTAGCAAAAGATCCACGGGATATCCTGGGAGTCAGAAGTTGGATGGCAGCTGCACAGAGCAGAGATGACTGGAGGAAGCTGGTGAAGGAGGCCAAGATTCGCCACGAAGTTGTAGCACCAAGATAGAGAGATAATATATTGTTCTAAAATTAACAAGTGTTATAACCTAGATTGTAATGACAGTAGATAAATAAGAAATACTGATCAACAGGTTTTCAATTGAAGTATTCATTGAAATAAAATAATAGATATATAAGGATAAATATATAATAGGGATAGATATATAATACATTAAACTTGAATACCGTATCACGTGGAATGTGTGGAATGACATCTGCGAGGGCTGTAAAAGGCGGTGGAAGAAGTTGCCCTAAGTTTAACAGATGTATAAGCTTTTCAGTAGTTTCCATTAGCTTAGGTTCATCCTGCTGGCTGATACGGGACCACTCACTAATTACTGTTGATGTCTATAGATATAAGAAATAGAAGTAATTAAAATATTGCTAATTTTAGGATATTTTATGATAGCTCTGGAAACAATAGATTTTGAAAATGATGAGCTTGGTACAAAATTTATAGCAGTAATTTGTATCTATTAAGCACATATCAACAGCCACACTGCAAAATCCTGTAAGATGAAAACTAAAAATTTTCAGATGAAAAAACTGAATAATTTTTGTTCTGTGAGCACTATATTTTCGGTTCAATTTTTTTTTTGGATGCCTAAGACAAAGATGTAATGCTATATGTAACTTTTTTGATCATATTGCTGCCAAATAATGTTTTAGAGACATTACTTCTAACTTATATTTTTTTAGTAACTTTGAAAAACCAATATTAGCTAGGTGAAATCAATCAAATTTATTGTGGTAACGCCCATAACTTTGTTAATAATGATCAAATCATGAAGGAACAAAGTCAGTTTCAAAACTGTAGAGATACTTCAAATGAAAATTTGTAAAATATTTGAAGAGAAGAATAGTTGGGGTGATCAGTCAAAAAAGAAGGCAAAAATAAATGATAATATTTATTTTGAAATATTATCATTTTTTTTTTTACTGATCACCCCAACTATTTTTCTCTTCATTATTCATGACAGTCGACTATTTACCCACAATTGTAAAACATTTGAGTGAAAAGTGAGTATTTGATCACATGGGTTATTCACTTTTTTGTTTCCCACTTGTCTAGGAAAGGCTCAGTCCCCCATTTTCAATAGTCAATGAAAGCTTCGTTTTTAACATACTCAACTTCATACAGACATAGTTTGACTCAGGAATGTGTTGGTAAGTTCTAGGTAACCTGCTGATGTGCAGATCACTTTGTTTCTGAGCTTTTAGCGATTTCAAAGATTCATTGTTTGAAAAGAGGAAACTAAAGTTCTTTTTTTGTCTCGTGTTAAATTTTCTAATTAATGAAATCATTTTTTGTCTCCTACTATCTGGAATTCAGTGGCATTGTAGCTTTTTCCAGTCAAGCTCATTTTGCAGATGCCAGGAGTTTTCGAAAGTCGTTCAATATTATATATGAACACTCTTCTTTGCTTCGTCTAGTTCCATGGTTAGCAGTGCCGGCCTCAGGGCAGTGGAACCCAGGCATTTGTCCAGAGGTGTCGGCCTGGAAGTGCCTGTCACTTATTAGAAATTTAAAAAAATAATAAAGCTAGTTGATACCATAGTCTATGCGCAAAACACTTTATACATTCTATATTTACATGGCCACCTTTCATTGAGCATTTCATTACGTGTTTTTTTCAGTAACGAAATAATCTCTATAACCTTCACTGTAACTTACACTTTTTACATCATAATTTGCTGGTTTTTAGGTTACAGGTTTTTGCAAAAGGGCATAGAGAAGAAATGGAAAATTGAAGATTTCATTTTGTGGGATCGGAATATGTGCCAGAACAAGATTGACTAGAAAAGCTCAAAACCTCATTTTCCGAAGAATTTGTCTTTACAGACTTCTGCAGTGTTGCTGTCGATACACTATAGCCACAGAGCCCTCTAAATATAATTGAAATAAAATATGAAATGTTAGTACCTAATAAGAAGCTTGTTAGGGCCCATTAATCAAATCAGAAGTTGCTATTTGAAATCTAGTAAGGATCCACTATTAAAACTGTAGTTTCTATGTTTCACTGAAGAAGAAAATGTTTCTTAAATACAAGTTGTCTCTATTTTTAAATTTATACATGTCACTCATAAGTGAATGAGCATATTATTATTATTTTTTTAATGGCATGTTAGCCAAGAGAGAGAAAGAGAGCAACACCTTTTCATGACATAAAATTAAAATATATGGAAAATCTGTGCAGTCATCATATTCTGATTAAGTTCATTATGGTGTCTACAGAGTTTATTACAAAATCCTCTCTATGTAGTTCGTACATGTACATTTGTATATGTACAAGAGGACATGTATAGTAAATTATTTGAAATATAACATGGTGATTTGAAAATTAAACTAGTTTTTTTTTTAGTATGTTTGTATTTTTTTTAGAAATGTTATTGATAGTCTTAAGTTGACAAAGACTTTAATAAAATTATATGTCCATTTTCAGTTAATATTTAATAGTTGATCATCCATGAAATATGAGTAAAAGTGATGTATTATGATTGATCCTGATTTTTTGTAATTCAGTCATAATAATACCTTCTATTATTGAAAAGTTAGTGAAGATTGATAGGACATAAATAAAAAAAATAAATATAGCTCAAAGAAAGAGTGTTTAGATAGTAAGTCATAGAAGATATTTAAATTTTTAAAAGAATTGAACTTGAATGAATGAAAATAATTTTATTACTCTGGGACTAGTGTCCCTTTAGAACAAGTCACAAATACAGAATAGATGGCTATGGTTCATAGCTGTGAAATTATTTATCATTTTAAATATCCATTACCAAAAATGAAGCTGAAGAACATATTTTTCAAAAATGTGTAATGTAAATATCAGAACTCAAGTTAAAACTAGAGTTATGATCAGTGCATACAGTTGTTTAGACATGAATTTATTCTTAAATTTTATTGAGAATTGTTATAACTTACCACAGCTCTCAGGATCACTGAACAATAGCACAAAGCAGGTCTGTGGTGGGCGATATATGACAACAATGACCATATAACAGGAGTATCATCAAGTGTTTTTCTGATTTTTAGATCTCTTTCAATGGTGACCTGTTTAATTTGCATTGCATTAGAATTTTCATAAATAAAAAAAAATGTTAGTATTAAAAGAAATTTAACTTTAAAATTTAAACAATGCCAATTATTTTAAATGATAATTAAAATTGAAATGTCTTTCAACTAATAGAGATTTCAAGAAAAGAATAAGTTAACACTCTTATAAATCTGATAAAGAAAAGATTAAAAACATAATTATCTGGTTCAAGTGATAAGAAATGGCTAAATATGTAGAATCTCGGATTCAGTACTTAACTTGATGATTATACTAGGAGGTGATATGGTCAGAGGCTAGGTGTGCCATTGGCCGGTCTTAAGGCATTCATGCAATGAATAAGAGTATTAAGAATAAATTTATAAATGCCTAAAAAAAGTACTAGGAAATGTTAATTACCTTACAAAACTCTTCTTCAGGCCAGGGAAGACCATTATACATAACATTAGGAGAAACAAATTCAACTAGGAGAAGTGCAACAGATATAACAGAATCCAATGTTGCTTGAGGCGACCCACAGTCCGTAGCGGCGTTAAGAAACTCTAGAAGAAGACTAGTGCTGTGCTCAACTTTTTCACGAGGGATAGGACACTGTGGTTCTGACTTCCTCTTACCAGTTCCTATTACACCGGCATGGAAAACTGAGTGCTTCTGAGCAAGGATAGATGAAGTACCCTACAAAAACATTTTTAAAAAAAACATTTAAATATCAAGGAAAAAAAAAAATATGATTTAGAAATTCACAACTTTTCAAAAGATTAAAAAGAAACGGTGATTTAGCCTATTATAAATTTTCTTAGAACTATCTTTTTATAACTATAAATTTTGATATATTAAAGAGAAAAATAGGTAATTGATTGCACTTCATCAGTTAATGTCGCTCCATTTACCAAAAGAAATAAAGTTATTCTTCATGAGCAAACTTAACCTGTTTCACAGGGGAATGCAGATAGCAGAAACTATGAAATCAGTCTGTATATAAACTAATAGAAGAGACCTGATCACTTACGATTTGTCAGATCATTATCTATCACTATCAATGATGACAAGAAAAACTATTTGAGAACAGCAGGAGCAGGAGCAGGGGCTAGTTTGTTTGCAGTTGGTCCCTACAGATTGAAAACTGAGCAAAGTTTCATATAACTGAGTTTGGAAGCGAATGTTCGAAATGAAATCTTTGTGAAAATCTACAGGAGAATTGCTGCAGCTAACCGTAGCTACTTTGGTCTAGCCAAATATTTCAGGAGAGCAGGTACCTCTCCAACAGATCAAAAATCAGCCGTTAAAGACCTTGGTGCACACAGTTCCTAGATATGGGTCAGAAGATTGGGCCTTCATGGGGAGGAGGGGGTGAAGGGAGGAGAGATGAGGCAAGGTTGCTACTATTTGAAAGAAAAATACAGAAACGAACCTTTGGCTTCGTTCGAGAGAGATTTCTTGGCTCTATAATAAGAACATTGATCTGGTACGGGTGTTATAATCCTGAAATTTATCGCCCCTGACAAATCCCCTTATAAATCCTACCCTAACATTGATGTGATCATTTCCTAAGCTTCGATGGGCAGGCCATGTGGTGAATATGGAGGATGTTGATACACCCAAGTTTATGATAGCTGAGCTTCATGGCAAAAAGAGATTGGGTCTGCCCAAAGTAAGACATATGGGTCTTTCTTGACATTCGAAAATGGTAGTTCCACAGTACTTGGTAATAGCAGCTGCAACAGATCAAGCCAACTAGTGGAGGCTTTTGGAGAAGGCCCAGACTCAGTGGCAGGTTGTAAATTATAAAAAAATTATAATTTATATCAATAATTGAAAAAAAACAAATTTACACATTATAATATCTCACTACACAATCTTGTGAAAGAAAAACAAGAAATTCGCAAATACAAGTTTCCTGGAAATAGAAGGTATAAATTAATAATATAATAAATAAAATGCTCTTCTGCTATTGCACGAACAGCTGAGGAAGTTCTGGGAACAAGTTGAGAAGAAGCTTAAACACTGTGGTTTGACGATGAGTGTAAATCTGCCACAGATGTAAAGAATGAGGCATACCAGGCGATGATCAACAGGACACAAGGCACTCCAGAAGAATATAAGAGAAAGAAAAGATTGGAGAAGATTACATCGTAAAAAGAAGAGGCAACACAAGCACGCTGAATTAGCAGAAATGGAGAAGTTTAGAACGGATAACGATGCCTGAAAGTTCTACCAGGTAGCCAATAGAAGTCGAAATCCTTTAAAGTAAATTCCCTCTATGTGTCAAAACAACAATGGAGTCCTTCTTACAGATGATGAATCCTGCATGGCGAAATCAAAAAGTACTTCCAAGGCCTGTTAAATGGAGATGATGAAGTAGATGGACACACTACTAATATACCACTAGAAGGAGATTTAGAGGCTCCTGACAATGAAGAAGTCGTCCAGGCAATTGAATGACTCAAAAATCATAAAACCCCAGGTATTGATGGCCTACCAGCCGAATTATTCAAGCAAAGAGCTTATCAGATCCCTCCACAGTATCGTTCTGACTGAGTGGGCCGAAGAGAGCATGCCTGAGAAACTGAAGACCTTAATATGCCCTATACATAAGAAGGGGATATGTGCTTAAGTGTGGTAACTATAGGAGAATATCCCTCCTCTCATGTGCCTATAAAATACTATCAAATATACTCTTCCAGTACCTCCTTCCACATGCCAAGCGAGAAATTGGATAGTACCAATGTGGATTCATGCGTAGAAAGTCAACAACAGACCAGATTTTCAGTCTTCATGGAATTTTGGAAAAAGGTAGAGAATATGGATTCAAGACGCATCACCTCTTTGTTGATTTTAAGTCCATGTATGATAGCATTGACTGGGATGAACTGTACAAGGCTCTTATAGAACTTAATGTTCCTCCTAAACTTGTTCGGCTGGTAATGATGAGCATGAAAGGCATCAAATACTTTGTTAAAGTCCAAAGAAAGCGATCAGGGGGTTTCTCAACTGTAAGAGAGGTGAGACAAGGAGATGCTATGGCATGTCGCCTCTTTAACCTCCATCTGGAAAAAGCTGTCAGAGAATCAGGAATTCAGACAACGGGTACTATTTTCAACAGAACAGTTCAGCACCTAGCATATGCTGATGACATAGATAAAGTTGGCAGATCATATAAGGCTGTATTCCAAGCATTCCTGGCTATTGAGCCTGCGGCAAGATGTCTCGGCCTAATTATCAACGAAGACAAAACAAAGTATATGGTGCCTGATCAAAGTGTTAATACTTTGATTAATTTGTGAATATTTTCAAAGTAAGGGAACAGCTCTTGTGTTCCTTATGACAATACATAACTGTATGCTAAGAACAACTAAACTTCTATTGAAATGGAAATATTCACATATCAAAATAATAAACAAAAGGGAGAAAGAAATTTTCAATGCCTTATCCTACCGGCCTATCAGTGACCTTCCTATTGGTTTCAAAGATTTTAAAAAATTAATATACAAAAGATTGATTGAAAAACTGAATGAACAAAAAATAATTCCTGGCCATCATTGTTTTTTTTGTACTTTACATTCCACAACACACCAATAAGTGACTTCATTGCTGGAGCACTAGATCAAAAACAATACGCAACCGGCGTGTTTCTGGATGTTGCCCAAGAATTTAATAGTCTGGCACCAGGGACATATCAAACTCAAAACTGTATTACCTAACACATAAAATCTCATTCTTCAATCTTTCTTTTTTGAAAGATTTTTCTCTGTCCAACAGGGATTAGGAAATTTCCTAAATTTGATCAGTGTTGGCAGGAGTACCTCAAGGATCAATAATGGATCTTTTACAAATTACAACATAAAACATTTCCACTTAGACAAGACAGGTTCCCACCAGTTTAAATAGGTGAGAGCCGAATTCCTTAGACAAACACAGTATGTTACCTTGGACTAATATTTGACAGAAGGATGACCTCAGGCCCACAAGCCAAAATGAAAAGAAAGACTGACAATTGACTGAAAATACTATACTCTCTTCTTTTCCAAATCGAAAATGAAAATTAGACAAAAACAAAATATGTATAATGTAATATCTCTTATATTTTAAACTAACAATATAACCTCGGAAGATCACTTTACACAGTAGCGATACTTCCAAAAGAAAGAGATTGTTTAAATTGAAATTAAATTGAAATTTATAATTATTTTATGTTTACTGGCAATCAGATCAAAACACTGAGACAAACTAATATTAACTACACTAAACACTGTTTGATTTTAAAATAAAGTTAAGTATGAATTGGCAAGCTAACCAATCAATACATACTGTTTCTTCCTTTGTTGCACTGAATTCATATGTCTTCGAATGCTTTCTAATGTTCCGTCAAACAGACCTTCCAAAATAATGACACTTTCCTCTACTCAACTGAAGTCCAAATTCGAAAGTCCAACTCATACTCAACCTGGTAGATCCTCTCTCTTGTGATTCTAAACAACTAGTCCCTGTCTGCCAAACAACAACTTCCAAGATGGTAATATTATTACTGGGTTTTGCCCGCTGGAGCCAGGATCCCTTCTCCCATCCTCTCTTCATCCCAGCCAAACACCAACTGCTTGGCAAAACGAAATCCTTTGTCTCCCTCCCCCTCTTTGGGATTTTCCTTTTAGGGGAAACTACAGAGGAGCTATTTTCTTTTCCCTGAACTAGTAGAACTAGATTAGCTTGCCTTTTAACTGTTCAAGATTAATTTATTAAACCATTTTTACCAATTTCCAATTAAGGTGTATATTACAATAAATACCTACTGAAAACCATTTGGAAGTTTCAACCCAAAAGTTTTTGGCTAATTACAGCAGCTCCCTGGAATGTAAATAATAAAACTAACGACTTAGGACAACCAACACACATACTTTTTATTCCTTAATTCATATTCAACTACATGGACATTTATACATATATCAACTTATTGGCTTTTTTTCCTTTTCATGGTCTGCACAGTGTTGCTTGGAAGATTTTTCTTATACCCTAATAGAAGTGCCAATCATTCTAGAGATCGACCTATCTCTTCTTTCCGTTAAGGTTCCTACAGGTTCCCTTGGAATATTCTCCTTATTCGCAAATGAATGTGAAAATCTATTTTCTAGGGATTGGTCTAGATATAAGTTCAAGCTAATGCTTATATTCTGGCCATTCGGCCTAATTGTATTAAGGTTCTTAAAGTTTCACTTATAATTATTCTCAATATTTCTAAATGAATATGTTTAAAAAATCATGTAGGGATCAACCTAATAGATGTTTGAACTGATATTCCAAAGACCACTACATATATTGGCTTTTCTATTCTTTCCGTCTAGATTCATACTGTTCCATTTGGAAAATTCTCCTTATTGTTAAATAAACCTGTCAATCGATTGCCTAATGAATGATACATTGGCCTTGAAATATCAGAATTATGTTATACGTTATTTCAAATTTAATATATCATTATATAAATTCTGTGAAACTATAAAATAAATTAAATTGCTATCTCAATTAATACACTCAAATAGAGAATCACACCTCTTAGAATTAATTGAACCCATAGTTATAGGAAGCATAAACATTGTATTGCCCATAAAGAGGAATCTCCACTTTTGATCTCGACTTATACAGATAATTATCTACATTGACATAAAAGCTGATATAGTCCATAAGCCAATATTAATATCAGTATCGATTGATCCCTATCTAAACCTGTTGCCAACTTTCACGATATTTTTCACAATTGCAATACTTCCTCTTACTATATATTTTACATATTGTCGGCACCATGTTAAATTAAATCGAATTTGAAAAATCACATTTTTCAATTTCATTCGTTTACCATAGTATTCCATGCCCACATTGTGGTAAAATGTAAATTTTGAATGACGACTGAGAGACTGGAATCAATAATATCATTTCTACGAATTTATAGTTTTGTTAGATTTGTATATGTTGTAGTAATAAATAGTCATAACCGAAAGTTTACATCGGGCAAATTCACATTTGTTACTTTAAACTGGTGCCAACAATATATTAACTGTTAGTAATAAAAATAACTATGATATTAAAATCTAAAGAATTAAAGTTGTAAAGTTTACCTGTTTATTGTTCTCTTCCATTAAACTTTCAGGTGGCTGGATAATTTTTGTACCACAATAAGGAATAGCCCCAAATAATATACTAGGTTTCTTGTTGATACAATTGTCAACAATTTCTCTTATTGCGTAACCCCGTGTAAGTGTTCCAATCAAATTCAACTTTCTCAATACATCACAAGATACTTTTAAACACCTAATCTGTTTAATCCCTTCTACAAAGAAATTAATCATTTTTAAAGTAAAAAATAATTGATTTTAATTAAAATATCTAAGCTGATTTTAAAACATAAGCAGGTAAATAAAAGTATCTTGAATCAAATGAAATGTTAATTTAAAAAAAAAAATTATATTACTCACCTTCTACATAACCTAAGCTCAAGGAGATTAGTAAGATTATATTTTTTTTAAATTAATGTTTTATTTGATTCAAGATACTTTTATTTTAGCTGCTTTTATTTTAAAATCAGCTTAAATATTTTAATTAAAATTTACTAACAATATTTTTATGTACATCAAAGTTTTTTTGACAGCTTTTATCAACTGTAGAATAATTTAAAGGTATTTAAAATTGGTAAATGGTTGACTGTCGTGGATAATGAAGAGAAGAATAAATAGTTGGGGTGTTCAGTCAAAAAAGAAGGCAAAAATAAATGATAATATTTATTTTTACATATGCCGACATTTCGACCTGAAGTTCAGGTCATCATCAGGGCTAAGAAAAGAACCAGATAACAAGGTATGATAAATATAAAAATTACAGTAAAATGAAGTTGTTAGAATAATGACAATAGTAAGAACAAGAGACAAATACAAATAATAATAACAGGTACAAAGTGTGGAATGATGAAGTAAACATAGTCAAAAAAGGTGACATAAGTATTGTAAAGGGAATCTTAGAATAAAATGTAAAACAGAAAAATATGAAGTTATATAAGAAATGGAAATAAATAGTAAAATTAAGAGTTTACTATCCGTAGTAAATAGTCGTAGTGGAGAATTAATGGAAGTCGAGATTAAGGAAGAGCGAATATTGTGGTCTGTTATAAGTTTGTTAATGACATGGAGAGGAAAATTATTGTTTGACAGGTTCTGTTTTATACGTTGGATATTGGTAACATGAAATTGGGGATCAGAGAGGGAGAGACTACGGTGGATGAGATTTTTAGCAACGTCAATTTTTTGGTGGTAGGGATGTTTAAGGTGGAAATTAAGAAATCTACCAGTGTAAGTTGGTTTAGTGTACCAGTCTGTGGATATGGTTTTGTTGGGATTTTTAATGATTAGAAGGTCTAGAAAAGGGAGAGAATTATTGAGTTGGCGTTGTACTGTAAAATTGAGGCGGGGGTGGTAAGAATTAAAATTAGATAGGATATCGGGAATTTTATTTGGATTGATGATTAGGAGGAGGTCGTCTACGTATTTTCGAATAAAGATAATATCGTCTGAGTAAAGAGGGATAATGGAGTCTAGAAGATCATTGAGAACGATGTTGGAGATGTCGGGAGCGAGGGGGTTACCCATTGCTAGCCCGAATTTGGTTAAAAAATTGTCCTCTCCGGACTATTTACTAAGAGTTTAGTATCCGAACATTCTCTCTCCCTCAATCATACATTTGATTTCGACAAAACATCCATCCTTGCCACAGTTCTTAACCATGATAAACAACTCATTTCTGAAACCCTCCACATTCAGCTTCAACCAAAGACAGTAAATTCAAAAACGGACAAACAGAACTTATCTTTAGCCTATTCCCAAATTCTGAATTTATTAAAACATCCATAGTTATCCTTTCCTTTTCGCTGACAACTTTATCTATCTATCTATCTATCTATATATATATATATATGATCTGTATTAATTTCAATTTCTCTCCATTATTACTCAACAGTTATTTTCTTCGTTTTATTGCCTCTCCAGAAGTTCTATCAACTATTTAAATGTATTACAATTTTTAGTTATAATTTATAAATAATTTATTTTATTTTAAACTATTTTATTGCCTCTTTCTATCAACTTTCGTTTTATTCCTTAATATTTATGAATAATATCTCTCGTTCTTATTTATGCTACCGATACGTTAGTTCAAACTTCGTCAGATAACCGTTGGAGATGACGCCACTATACACCCCTTCTATCCACCTCCATCCTTCAATAACACGAGCATTGCATCTTTACCTTAGAGCAGTCAGGTTGTTATCATTTTTCTCTTACTTATTCTATTTCTTATTTCAACCTTCTCAGTTTCTCTCCTCCTTCCTTTCATTACTTTTCTCTGTTTTAACTCTTTATTATTTCATACTTTGTCTGTACATATTGATAGACTTTACAATATCTCAATTTTCTATCTAAATATTCTATTCACTATATCTTAATTTTACTATTTATTTCCATTTCTTATATAACTTCATATTTTTCTGTTTTACATTTTATTCTAAGATTCCCTTTACAATACTTATATCACCTTTTTTGACTATGTTTACTTCATCATTCCACACTTTGTATCTGTTATTATTATTTGTCTCTTGTTCTTACTATTGTCATTATTCTAACAACTTCATTTTACTGTAATTTTTATATTTCTCATACCTTGTTATCTGGTTCTTTTCTTAGCCCTGATGATGGCCTGAACTTCAGGTCGAAGCGTCGGCATATGTAAAAATAAATATTATCATTTATTTTTGACTGACCACCTCAACTATTCTTCTCTTCATTAAAGGTATTTAAATTTCCTAGAAGTGAAAAAAAAGATAGATTGCAATAAAAGCACTATTAATAAAGATATAGAGGTTTAAAACAATTTTTGGTTTATTATATTCAATAATGAACCTTGTAATTGATGTTTAAAGACATACAGATCCAAAACACGAATAAAAAAATTTTTTCTACAGAAATTGATACAACTCAATAAAAATTAAAACTTGGCAATAAAAAAACATCAACCTGCCTTATGATGATACATTGAAAATGAAATATATACTAACTAAGAGATTGAGCAATTTTCTTGGTAGATTTTAAGCTTTAAAGCCAGGTAGGAGAGTTCTGAAAGTGAACTGCATGATTACTAACTAGGTTCTTTGATTGAGTTTTAGGCATAAAAAAATAATGAGGAATAAACAAAAATAACTCATAAATAAGTAGGAGCAATGAGCATTTCAAGATAAAGGAAATAAATAAAAAAATCAGCCAAGTTTCTATACAATTGAAGGGCAACCATGAAAGTTTTTTTTTTAATTTTACTACTATAATTAACTACATTTCTGTAATTAACACATTTCATGGACATTTTGTCAAGCGATTATTACAGTTGATTAAGATTGGTGTAGGGAAATGGTGGCCGTATCGCCTAAGTCGTAAGACTACAATCAGCCACTGGCTCTCCATGTTGGAAGAACAATAACTCAGACACTCAAACAGAAAACCAAATATATCACACTACATACCCCACACTTACAGACAAGGGAAACACACAGTACACACCCTGAGGTCAATACCTGTAGGTAGCCACTCCGGTCGCCTAAGTAGCTGCTCTGAGAAGGCAGCCACTCCATTTGGCTCAGGGAACATGGGCTGATTAATCCACTTCTTAAATATCATAATCACAAAACGTCTAAAAAGTGTGTTAGAAAATTGTCTCAATGGAAATAACTCTTGAACTACCATAATGACTTATGCATTGCATACCGGAATAATACAGAACTGACTTAGCAGTAGTCCAGGAAGTCTGATGGAATCCTTATCATCTGTCATACATACAGCAGCCCAAGATGCAATTGGATATTCTACCAAATCCCTCAGAACTCACCGGTTTGAAGAAGTGTATCTTGAGGCTACAAAAAATAAAAACTAGGCATACATTAAGATGATCCATTGATATACATGGCAAACTGTCCATGAATATCAACATAGAAGATGTGAGGAAAAAAGACTCCACAAAAGAAAGAAAATATCAAGGAATAAGGAAAAAAATGAGGAAATTGAAAGGATTTGACAAGCAAATGAATCAAGGATATTCTACAAAACAGTAAATGAAGGAAGAGCCTTCTTCAAATGTCTGACCCACATCACCCAGAGCAGAAGATGGATCTCTTCTTACCAAGAACAATGACGTACGAGACAGATGGGTGAAGCACTTCAGACTCCTTAATAAAGAACAATCAAGCATTTTTCAAGATGATAACAGACCAAGTGGGGATGATATCGAAGACATAGAGGCACCTGATGAAGATATGTTTAAAATGCCATTTTAAAGTTGAAAAACAATAAAGCCTCTGGCATAGACGGATTAAAGGCAAAGCTCTTGAAGTATGGCTGGGAAGGATAAAAGGGAAAATTATATAACCTTATTCTACTTAAATAGAAGAAGGACCAGATACCAATTGGTTGGAGTCAATTCCTGTAGCTGTTTTAAATTAAGAAACTTATTATTAGGCTGAGAAGGAATGACTGAAGAAACATCCTAAGGATGTTTAAAAACGGACAAAGTTCTGTCTTATATTATTATTTAGTGCTGAAAACGCAAATACACATATATATATTTTCTGCTTTTTATCTATGAGGATTTATTTCCAAAAGAAGTTGAAATAGTTATTTTAGTGAACTTCTTGCTATAAAGTTTTGTTTTGACAAAATCTGAAGTATACAGAGTGGGAGCGTCAAGATTTATTTCTCAGGGCTGTCGACTAAACAAATTACTAATAGGGACACTCTGGGAATCTCACTCCAACCCCACCTTGGTCAGCTTCTTCATGTCCTCACTTCTCATGAACAAATAAACTATATTAAAACTAACTGGACTGTCAGCCTGGCAAAGTATATATAGCCCAAGGAACATTCTACATGGGACAAGACGATTACCCGAATCTGCCATAATGATCAAAACCGACAGCTAATTCTATTTAGATCTTTTGTATAACTTTTGCTATTTTAAACCTATATATATATATATATATATATTTACACAAATGACTATATTATGATAAAATAATTTTTTTACAAACATAGTATGTATTACAATCATAAGATCTTTATTACCTGAGTGCATAATGTAGAGATAAAAAAATGAAATCATAGCATCAACAATAGATCTTATCATTTTAATCCTAGGCTGACGATTGTGGTTTACTATCGGAATATAAATCAATTCTGCCATCATTAAAGCATTTTCGACATCCATTTCATCACACAGCTTTTGTGATATTGCGAGAAGATTACTATGAATTGATTCCATAACAGGTAGAGCTATAAATGTACCACTTGCTTCCCACCTACATAAGTTAAAAAAATATAAATAATCATCGACAGAATGGTTTCTAACACTGAATTCATTGTTAATAACATACTTAGATAGTTTAATTAAATTTGCCCATAAACGTTTACATTTTTCTTTGTCTTCTTCATTCAAAGTTTTTTCAATTGCAGGGGCCATGACTTCTTTATATGTATAGTTTTGTGAGAATTTCACGACTGCATCTAAGTGTTCATCTTTAGTGGAATTTAACATAACATATGCAACACATTCTGGTAATACTCTTACATTTTGGTGGCCTAAAAAAATCAAATAGAAAATAACACATTTATCTAATTGAGGTAAAATAAAAAAAAATATAAATTAACATGTTTACCCATAAAGCATATTATAGACACAGCTGAAGATCTATAAATTTCTTTATCAGATAGAACTAATTTAAGTAAGTCTTCCTTATTTTTTCCAATAGACTCTAAGAATGGGATTTTAGATGAATTTCCTCTCGATAGAATATCCAGTTCTTTGAGCAACAAAGCTTAAAAAAATAATAAAAAATGTCAGAAAGTAACAATAATTATTTATAGATGGATTTTGTTGACTTTTTTTTTAAAAAATCATATAGGATGGTGTATAATCAGGATTTTAAGTCATTTTTTTAAAAATAAAAACTCCTTTAGGTGTACTTTGCACATTTTTGTGGAGAGTAGTCAGATTTCCGATGTATAAGGCTCAGATAAAGTCAGCTGGAGTTGACTAATTCAAGTGTTTTTGCATATGGAGTAAAATATCTGAAAAACTAAATATCGGACGACCTGCATGTTGTTAGCAAGAGAAATTTCATTATTTCATCCTCTTTGTAATGAACTATTATTCAAAATTGTATCTTAATGCGATGCCGTGTTAGAGAAACGAAAAGGGAAAAAATAGTGTCAAAAACTAAATGGTAACGAGTTTTATTGAAGATATGGTTTAAATATCTCAGAAGCTAAAAATGGGACCTGTATACTTTAAAAGAGGGAATTGTTCAGCATTTTATACTCTCGGTAATTGGCTATTATTCAAATTGTATCTTAATGTGACACCATGTTAGGAAGGTGAAAAGGAAAAATAGTATCAAAAGCCAAGTGACAACGAGTTTTACTGAAGATATGGATTAAAATATCTCAGAAACTAAAAATCAGACCTGCATACTATAAGTGAGAGAAATGTTCAGCATTTCATACTTTTTATAATGAGCTATTATTTATAATTTATATTTTATATCATTAATTAACATTGTTGATGTTTACACTTCTATCGTCTGGTCTAAAGCACACACCTTATTTTTTTTATAGTTAGCATCATAAAATAATTTTGATAGTAAATCCTGATTATATGACATCCTAAAAAATTATTTTAGGGAGTGGGGTAGCTTAGTGGTAGGGCACTGAACTTCCAATGCAAAGGTCCCAGGTTCGAACCCCGGCTCATGGCAGAAAATTTATTTATCTGTTTCATTGGCCGTGGGGCGATCCTGGATCAGGAGACCCTCCTGGGGCACACCCAGCCTCTATAAAGTGGGTACCCTTAATTAAATAATTGATTAAGGGAGAAAACCTGGCGGTTGAGCGTGATCTTGGTCAAATTTCCTCCTTGCACAACCGTTGACCTAGAAACAGTGCTTTTCCTAAATAGTACTGAACCCCAGACCCTTCATGGGTTGTAGTGGTACAGAATTTTTTATTTATTTATTTAAAAAAAATTATTTGTAATTAAATACTTTGATTTAAAAAAAGTCCTATATCTATCCAAAATAAAATTAAGTCAGCAAAAAAAGAGAATCCCTCACAAGCAGTGAAGAAAACTAGCAGGCTGGAAACAAATCAATTCTACACATTAGAAAAATAATAGTAGAATACAAATTGAGAAATACACAAACATAACAAAAATATTGCAATCTGACAACATCAAAAGAAAAGATAGTAAAACATAGAGACATAGACCTTGCTGAAGACCTCAACCTTTTTTTTTTTATTTACACCTTTCCTTGCCTTACGGCAATAAAGGTTTTGATGAGGGTAGCGTAATAAATAATATATCTATCACACTACCCATGTCATTTAGACTTTAGTGATTCAACTGCAGTTCAAATGAAGTCCACACCTTTAGAATCTTTGCCCATTATGGATTGCATTCTGCCGCCTCCTCTTTTCACCTAGGGGCTTGAAGATTAATGTGTTCCGTTCCCACAGTCGTCTTCCACCTGTACAAGAACTCTTCGAAGTACGGGTAGTTTTCTTTTACCATGAAATCACCTCCTGTTATAACAAACGACCCTGTTTTCCTCCGTAAAGTGTTCCTAAGTCCTTCAAAGCCAGTGCAGGTCATTACTACGTGTTCTGCAGTTTCCGGAATGTGGCAGCTGGGATATAGGGGGTCGACGTCCTTGCCAAAACTGTGCAGTTTGGCCCGAAATCTCCCATACCCCGTGAGGACTTGCGAAATCCAGTAATCTGGGAACACCCATTTTGCCGTTGATCGGGAGTGTACAGTCAGTAAGAACTTTCTTAAGGTCGCTCATTGCAGGGTTGTCAATCATTGTTGATTCCAATCTTCAATAGTTTGCTCCCAGATTATCTGTTTCCATCTATTGGGTTCATCTGCAATCCTCACTCGGAGACACTCCGGAACCCCTGCTGAGCCTTCTCTCTTATGAGCCTTATCCCGAACACTGAAACATATTCAAGCAGGATAAGGTCGAGAGGCAACCTTCCTGCCAAGACCTGCACTGCCTCATGTGATACCATCCTGTAGGCCTTAGTTACCCACAGCAGAGCCGTTCTCTGTATCGTTGCCCACCTGTTCTGCTTTTTTGAGGGATTAAGGTACCAGGCGGGGGATGCATACCTCAGAATACCCTGCATTACTCCTTTATAGATTGTCATTGTCGCCAGGTATTTGAGGCCACAGAGAGCGTCCCCAATTCGACTGAGCCCATTCAGTGAGATGTTGACCCTGCTAGCCATGTAGTCCAAGTGAGGCATTATGAAGTTTCTTCCGAATCTCACTCCAAGATAAGCTATCACCTCACTTGGATGAATTCGCTCCCCTTGGATCAGTAAGGTGACAGAATGGGCCCTGTTAGTCTTCCCTTTAAGGAGTATGACCTGTGTTTTAGCAGCAGCCATATTCAGCTTTTTACTCCCTACTCCCACACCATTGTGTCACTAGGTTGAGACACCGTTCTGGCTCTATCTTGAGGCCAGCTCTGCTGTTCGAGGCCACAACTGCAGCCAAATCATCCACCTAGGCAGTAGCTGGGAATAATAGCTCTTCTTCCAAGACACCCAGAAACTCACCAAAAACCAGTTTCCACAGAGCTGGACCAAGGACTGATCCTTGGGGACATTCTCGCTCTACGGAGGCTTCCACCTCATATGAGCTTCCTCGAATCTTTACCCTCCTGTCCGTTAGGTAGCTCCTTACAAAGCAGTACAAGAAGCTGAAGACCTAAACCTAAAGAAGAGTTGTAAATAAGCTGTAAGTAAGCTGTCCTTAAAAGCAATCAAAAGGACATTGGGAGACTCGTTAAAATTCTTACGAGAGAAGTAAATGAAGATAAAACAAAATATATGATAGTAAGCCAAAAATCTCACCCCAACACCCCAATGGGATGAACAACCAGGAGTAAAGAAATTCAAATACCTCAACTACACAATATCCTCAATTAGTTACCTTGAATCAGAAATAGACCAGCAAATAAACTCAAACACAGTTTTTTTTCCTCTCTTTTAAATGTATTTAAATCACTCAATATCACAAATTAGGGGAGAACAATGCTATGATAAAACCAGTTCTGATATAACACTATAACCTGGTGTCAATAAATTTGATACGAAAGTCCTTTGCATGATAACCATGGCAATCTGTGATCAGAGTACAAATGCATGGAGGAGAAGGTCTAATAAAGAATTTCTTACAGATCAATAGAATATCTCATGATATGAAGGCCAAGAGGTTAAGATGGGCAGGATAAGTAGTCCAAAGTAATCCATCAGGAAGCCTCTACACAACAATGAATGCCTTAATAGTGGGTATGAGTCTCCCATGTGATGGGAGACCAAAACCAGATAGATAGATCAACAAAGATGCTGCAGAGCTGCATGAAACAAACTGAAAACCAATAACCCAAGATAAGAAGAAGTGGATAAAGATTGTTCAGATAGCCAAAGCTCTACAAGGTCTGTATAGTGAACATAAAAAAAAAACTTCTATTAAAAAAAATATATATAGCCATAATAAGCATATACAAATAAATCATATGTACACAAATGCAAACATAAGTAAAGTTTAAGACAATATGTAATGATTTTCATGAAATTATCTTAGTAATGGAGCTTTATAAAAATAAAACATTAAGAAAATTAGTTGTTTAATCTAATATCATAATGTACAAACCTAAAATTTCTTCTGCAACGCTGCTGATGTCACTGTTATGGTAAGTTGCAAATGGTAATAAAAGATTGATAAATATTTCGTCAGCCTTGTCATTAATTGATATTATCAAATGTACCACCAAATTAAATAGAGCTTGGCGATTGTTACAGTATGGAATCCAATGTTTTCCAAAATCAATTAGTTTTTCACATGTTTCAGGAGTCACTGTAACAAAATGTATTATCTGAAAAATAATTAAAATTGATAGGTCTTTTCATGATTTTTGAGACACGCATCCTAATATTTAATAACATAATTAAAGAAAAGATGCAAACAAATAATAAAATATAAATATAGAAAATAAATAACGATACTGTAAATGCAAGATTTTTATGCAATTTTAATATATCGTATTCTTTCTCCACTACTATGATTAAGCAGTTTGGGGTAACTATGCTGGAGTCTAAACCAGGTGGCCTGTTCTTAGGCTGTCTTCTACTCAATGTAATTATTTACCTTCTATCTATGTATCACTTCCCGAACGCCTATCTCATGTTGCCTTTCCAGAAGATGCTCTTCTGATGTGGTGGTCAACCTCTTGATCCCGTTAGCTGGAATATTACAGCAACATTTTCGTCAAAATCGGCTAACTGGAAGTGCCACTTTATATCATCGATTTTACATACTTTTACAATTTTCTCAAAAACAGCTCTAACAATTTTGAATAAATTCATCGTATGAGTGTAAAATTAAGCAATTTTTAATATATTGTAGGTCTTATTCTCAAAGATGTTCTCTATCAGGGTTTAAATGCCTAATTTTCAAAAGTTCTTTATTTAAAGTACCTTTATTATTTTTTATTTGAAATAATTAACCATTTCACATTATAAACTGATATAAAAATATTAAATACATAAAAAAAAATACACAGTCGTTAAACAAAATGGAAAATGATGCAAACCTGTACGCGAGGACGGTCTAATCTTACTGATTGGTCCAACTGCTTGAATACCGGAATGTAGAATGTTTTGGGACTGATCGATAGTAGTTTTTAGGTATTGAAGGCAAACCAGAGAATCTGGTTGGAAGCGAATAAGTGGCAATTAAGATTTAAATTAGGCAAACTGACTGAAGAGCACCATCATATTCGTCAAGATTTGGCCATCTCTATGTACCCCTGATGAGTGTGCAAAACAAGCGTTGCTCAGAGCAATCTGTGATAAACCAAAATTTACGAGTTCAAATCCTGGTGCCAGAGGGACTTATAAATCTGGCATAATTCTCCCGTCCTCATCTCTGTACTAGGGAAAACCGTGTATAGTCTAAAAGGTAAGGAATGAGAGATAATAAAAAAAATAAAGGTAAGACAAATTTATTTCAAACATAAGATTTGGTTACGGCCGAATTAGGTAAGATACTACCAGGGGTCAAATCCACTCTCGTTCTAATTCAAGAAAATTACTTTTATAGGGAAATGATCAAAGGCTTATGGAGGAATGGTGGTTGAATCAGCTGACCCTTCTTATACGAAGGCCACCACAAACATCACTTTGTCTGATCCCAGGATAATCATTTTCAAGAGAGATTCTGTAAAGGCCTCTCTTTTATCCAAAAGAAACTGAAGGAATATAGAGTGGAATTTTAATAGAAAAAGGCTGAAGAGTGGATTACCCAACAGTGCGGAATAGTCATACTATATCATGGATAATTATAGGTACATAGGACCTCCAATCTAGAGGATATCTTATCCCAACTTATGGAAATTTACTTCTCAAGTTTTAAGTCAATTAAGTATTCATTATTCCATTAGACAAATATTCTACTGTATTTCAGGCAGAAGCATTTGCTATATTGTCAAGAGCCAAATAGGATGTGGCATCACTATATATTCAGATAATCATCCAGCTCTTCAAGCCTTAAAAACCCCTTAAAGTCAACTCCATTATAATGAGGGATTGCAGGCAAGCATTGGAGACTCTTATCAGCATTAAGAATTTTTTTCCTAAAATATTATTTACTCTCGATACCAGGCCGGTTTAGAAAAAATATTATAATTGGCAGATAGCTGTTGCATGGCAACTAATTCGACTGACCAACATATCAATGTGAGGTTAAATATTTCTTTAGGGAGAAATAAAGTTTCGTTTTTTGCACCTCGAAATTTAGAAATTTTGTGATAACTTCAGAACAACTCCACTGATTCATATGGAACTTGTTAGGAACTTAAGATTTCCTAAGCTATACAAAATGGTATAATCTCGACCTCTTTAAACAAATTAAAACTAAAGATATAAAACAAAAATTTTTGAGGAGTTTTTCTAAATTTTTAGTTCAAAATGGAATGAAATTCAAATCTTATGGATGTGGTTTGGAAGAGCAGTAATTCAGCTTTCCAATAGTTATACACATGTTAAATTCGGAGAAAATCTTGAGAAATTATGAATGCTTTAGTTAACAGCCAGAAAAACAAGCTTCCCAGAAAATCAAGTTTTAAAATTTACAATTTTTTATATCTATAATAATTCATATTGATGCGATTTAAAGAACACCAACAACCACGGTCAACCAACGCTGAACTTTACCAAATTTGTCAAAAACTGAGACAAATTACTATAAATGGCCCTGTAACTTGGAAATGAGTTCCCTAAGAGGAAAAACCCATAGAATTAAAGTTGTAGAGCATCAAATTTTGCGTCCATTGAGTATTGACATATTTATTTTAGGCCAATTATATATCTTGAATCGGGATTCGTTAGTCCTTTATAAAATTCAGAATCTTTCGGCACATCGTTTACCAAAATCTTTTGCTGTTGAGAGGTGGAAAAGAAGCGTATACTGCATGTAACAGACTTTAAACAAAACTAACTCATTAGAAAAGACACTCATACTGTTGAAATATTGAAAATCAGGTTTACCTTCATTACCAATTTCTAACCATCGATAGATTACCGATTTTTTTCGCAGCCAGTGACCTACATTAAATTAATTTGTACTCAGTTGACGCAAAATTTGATGCTCTACAACTTTGATTCTATGGGTTCTTCCACTTAGGGAACTCATTTCCAAGTTAAATTTTTCTCAGATTTTGACAAATTTGGTAAAACTCAGCTTTGGTTGACAGTGGTTTTATACCTTACGGCGTAACCAAATTTTAATATTTATGTAATCGTTTGATGCAAAATTTAACGTCCTTTAATTTATTAAAGAATATATTTTTCGCTTTGATGCATTGTTTAGGAGTTATAGGTGAAAAACCCAAAAAATATCGAAAAAATCTGACTTTTTTGGCTGTAAAAAGTTTTCCCTTGGTGGCCCGCGTTAGCAATTTTGTTTTTTACATGTCTAAACTCATATATACAAGTTAAAAAAATAAAAGCTTTTCTCACATTTTTCGCAATGGATTTCCCGTTTCGATCCTCAAATTACTGGCCTAATATTCATTAAATCAGCCGCCATTTTTGAAAGCAGCGGCTCTGGAACGGCAGGCAAGGTTTTTATTACTCAGAATAACATACACTTTCGTAATTTACAATCAAACCTTCGCCTGCGATCAAGTCGATGTTTGGGCCCTGACTCCAGGGCTAATACTTTATAACTCATTTAATACCATAACCAATTTTTTTTCTTTTCTACACAAAAAAAAAGAAATTGATTGATATATAACAACCTAAATATCTGGGCAAAGCTAAGGGAAAAAATTAATAACTTAAATTTTGTTTTAAATTAGATAATTTTTTTTCTCAGCTCCTAGGATTCTTTCACAAGAACTCTTGGACATGGGTCTAATATTTTTTCAACCTAGTATCACAAAAAAAATGTCTTTGAAATCGATGACCCCAGTACATAACCTCCCCTTGTTAGTATTTTAAAAATTAAGCCCGACACAAAAGAAGCAAACACAGATCACACACACATCTGATCTCAAGAAGCAGGACATAAAATCTATGTTTTTTGCCACTGGAAGATAGAGTGATACTCCACTTATAGCTCCCATTTCTACTAATCTGTTTGATAATTATTCATAATTTTTCGTTATTGTTCTCCAAGTTAAAGTGATATTTTTATTAATTAATGACATTTCTAAATAAAATAAAGACAGTGAGGGAAACTTCTATCTGCATTAACAACCTTGCCACACCCTAAAAGAAAAATATAATAAAAAGTCAAAAAAAAAAGAAAAAAAAAAGAAAAGGCAATTGTTATAAAAAGGTTCTATCTACATTTAGGACCTTGTCTCCCTACAAAAATATATTCTGGAATGACAAAATTCTAACTGCAAAATTTCTATACTCAAAATGATATTAATATCATTTTGAGTGCTACAATTAAGTCATCAATGAATGCAAATAAAAGTTCACTGCTTCAAGATATTGTACAAATAAAATTGTTAGACTAATTAACAAAATATTTATACAACAGTAACTTGTAACTTTGAAGCTTTCTTTCTCAGGATATATAGTAAATGCAGCTAGAACTTTTCAATTTTTTAGCTTTTCAAATCAAGGCACTAGCGGATCCAGGATTTAATTTTTTGGGGGGGGGGGGCTTCAGCCCGAAAGATTTTTTTTCATATATATAAAGATAATTAATTTGAAAAAAAAAGAGAAAGAAATGAACTACCTATATGAAATAGTCTTTTAGTGATTCTTGAAGTGCTATTAAACGTAATTACACGAACAATAATACTTAAAGAGATAGTTTTTAATATTTTTTTCTATAAAACATGGTTATATTTTACCGTTTTTGGGGGAAGGGAGAGCTTCAGTCCGAAAGCCCCATCTCCTCCCCCCCCACGTAAATCCGCCTGTGAATCAAGGACACGATGTGCCAATTTTAGTTTCAATGAATCAGAACTATAGCAGCCAATACTCTCAATGCTTCTTAAAAACAGCCATAATTAATTTTATTTAACTTTACAATATGATAACAGAGTCATTTATTTGTTTTTAAATATAAATAAATTAGGCTAGATAAAAAAATAGATATTTGGTTCAGAGTAAGAGAACACTGAAGCATGGTGGTAGTAGAAGAGTTAAATAAAAGCAAATAATAAAAGCTTAGAGGCTAAGTGTGACATATTGATAAATTAATAAGTAAGTGATTAGCATTACTTAATTCTAAAGCAACGTCACACAGAGATGTCAACAATACAGATGATCTAGAAGCTAGAGTCAGAAGATATGCCACAGCTGCCTTTTTTTCAACAGGTCCACCTCTGTCATCAGCTGGTACATCAGGCTCCAAAGTCCACTGACAAAGTATAACAGGAGAAAACAAATTAGATTTATAAAATGAAGGAAGCCAAATTAGTTCAATGGAAATTGTCAGGAAATACAGTGAAACTTCCCATTGTGGACACTTCCCTATAGTGGACTTTTCTCTGTAGTGGACAATTTTATAATCCCCATTAGATTTCAAGCTTTACAGTGTAAATGATTTCTGCACAAGACACATTCTCTATATATCAAATGTGGACAGGTTTGATACAAGGATTTTTTTTTTTAATTTCTGCATAATGAACAGTAGAAAGCTAATGAGACTCATATTCTGAGAACATTAATCCAATTTATAACAGCTTAGATCAATTATATATACTGGGAATTCGGTTTTGAAACAGAGATTACAATCTTAACATCTTATTGTTAGTTATACAGATTTTATTGTATCATTTAAATTATTTTTCAGTTAAATTTCAAAGAAAAAATCGATGTTATTAATGATGGGTGATAAATATTCAGGATGCAGTCATTATTAAGTTTTTATTGATGTCGACACTTCAACCCAAACATATGGGTCAGCATCAGAGCGTGTTTCAAGCACTGAAGGTATAGAATATATATCTGAATAACTAATTCAAAAACTCAAGAGTACTTAAATACCTACAGTACTCAAAACATGCCCAGATGATGACTCACATGTTTGGGTTGAAACGTCGGCACCAATAAAGACTTTATAAAGACTATGTCCTGAATATTTGTAAAACATCAGTAGATTAAATAACAGGTGAATGATTTGCCGATCTTGTGCATTAACTCTCCAGCTACTATTTCGAACAATTATACATGCGCTGTACCGGTGAAGTAAAAATACATTTTTGTGGTCCCTGAGTATTCGGAACCAGAAGAAGCTTTATCACAAACTGTAGCCTAACAAAAAATTTTCATTTAAAGAAAGACTGAAAATTTGTACCGATTTAATCTATCAAGACCAATGCTGAAAACAAAGTAGCTATACATCAAAAAGTGTAAGCAAACACTACAGATTACATTTCTCGTTAATTCGGAATTTCAATCTTTTTTATATACAAGTTTACATTTTATATGTGCTCTTTTATTATGAAAAATAAATAATTTTTCTTAAAAATATTGTAAATTTAAAAATAAAAATGTTTATTCGGTTATATACGTGGAGAGGATGAAGGAGGACGAGATTCCAAAGAGGACAGTGACTGAAGAGCTTCATGGCAGACGAAGAGTGGGTAGGCCAAATGTGAGGAGGGCTGACTCCGTCACAGCGGACATACACACAATCTCCTCGGCGCAAGGAATTAGAGAGCTGCAGCAACAGTCAGGGCCAACTGGTGGAGACTTTTGGAGGAGGCTTTTGTTAAGGCCGTTAACGGATTGTTGCGCCAACTATATATGTATGTATTAGGTTATATTAGAAGGTTTTATATTCTTTGATGATCAAATCTACAGGTCTACGGGATTATTATTGGCAAAGAATCTGGTAATAAATAAAAATGTTTTTTAAATGAACAAACAATTTCATCAGCTAATCTTTAGTTCCTTTTTTATCATGTTTTGCTTTCAATTTCTCTAAAACAGATATCTCTCTATAACTGACAAATTCCGAATCCCTGTCAGCATCCGATACTGAGAAGTTTTACTGAAGTTGATTTACAAACCTTAGATTAAGCAAAATTAGATATGAAAAGATATACAAATAATTAAAATAAACAGGTATAAAATTAGTATAATTAAAACAAAAGATACATTAAATATTTCCTTGAAAGCAGCTAAAATTTCATCTTGGTGGCAACCAGCTAGATGTATCAGTATATCAAGTACTGACTTTATTTTTGGAGTCTGCAATTAAAAAATAATAAATTAATAACATAATTAAAAAGTTTTAAACTTTGATAAAAAAAAAAAAATTCTAAAATCTCTTACATTAGTAGATCCCTGATTATGTGCAAAGTCCTGAAGACCAGCTATAAGAACTCTTGAGATTACAATGTTAGGAAAGTTACCTCCAACTTGGGCAACAACCCAATCGAAGTGAGGGCTGTGCGTAACACATGTATCTACAAGAGAAGAATTGAGTGAACATAAATAACTGAATAAACATACAAGTACAGAATAACCTCAAAACATATTATAAAATGGAGTCCCTTCATTACTGTTTTGTATCAATAATGAAACAATAGAGTAAAAACTATCAACATATATTAATAAAGTAAACAAGAAAAATTTTCAGGTTTAGAAAAGCCCAAGAGAAGGGATAAAGCAAATGATGAATGAAATTTTATTTAAAGAATTTAAAATATAATATATTAATTTTTTATTAAATCTTCTAAATTTTTAAGGGCATATATAATTAATAAAATTTATAATTTTGAGGAAAATCTCTTTTATTTCACCCTTACACCTCTACTCCATGCTTCAATTCATTTTAATTTTCTCAAAGACGTTTCAGGCAATTTTGCTCATTTTCAAGTCGAAATATTTACATCATTATGATATAGTCCATCTAATAATATTTCTTATATAATTATTATAAAATTTATCGTCTCATATTCTCCTAATTATAAAATTCATAACATTTATGAAGAGTCAATTCTGTTGACTATCAAAAAATTAAACATTATTTTAAATTTACATCAAATGTTATGTCCACTAGACACTCTAAAATAAACACTTAAGTTAAAGGATAATAGGTCTGACGGTCCAGCAGACACCCTCATAGAATGAGGAAGTAAAGCAAGAAGTAAAATTGGGCTATTTAATTAAATACATTTTTAATAGTATTAAACTTCAAACAACACATTGGTGAATATTGATCATATTTTTCAATAGAAAAATATATTAAAACCATCAAAATATCAACAGTAGGCAATAAAAACGTTGTAACTCCATCAGTCTATTTAAACTACATAACTCCAGTTTTTAAGTTCTATATAAAAAGAGAAATTTGAAAGATATATCTATGACTATAAATAAATAAGGATTTTAATACATTTATTATCGGATCTAAATTTATTAAACTACAGTCAATTCTTCTTTTCTTTTTTTTTTTTTTTTTTAATCGCCTCTAACCTAGTGGATCATTGGCAGTGTTTTTTAATACTCTATATTAGTAGTGAGTTTCTATTAGGTATTGGCCACTCCTCCCTCGTTGTCTCCCAATATTTCCTTCATTGTCACTAGTAATTTCAGTTTTTGTCGAATTTTTTCGAACTTATGGCACTCTAATAATAGGTATTTTACTGACTGCGGTTTATTGTCACACTTTTGGCAAGTGTTTGCTTCTAGTCCGGTAAGAAGGCACCCGTGAGTAAACAGGCAGTGACCAATTCGTATTCGGCACAATATGGTTTCCTATCTTATGGATTTTCTTGTGCTTGTAACCCATTTGTTGCACTCTGTTTTTATTTCTAATAGTTTTGACTGTTTAGTTTTCCCAATCTTTTAACAACTTCTTTTTTGTTTCGGGATTCCAGTCTTTTATTGTGGTACAGTTTATTGAAATTATGGCTGGTGCCTCTCCCTTCCTTGTTAAATTAGCTGCTTGGTCTGCTCTTTGATTGCCTAAGATACCACTATGAGATGTAACCCAAACAAATACTACACTGACCGTTCTTTTTTTCAATTCAATATATCTCTTATTAGGGAATTGCTTGGCCATGGGTTATCAATTGCTGCCATACAGTCAATTTATTTAAGGTTAACAACAGATGTTTTATTATCTGAAACATTTTTTATATTCTACTTTTCCTCTTACATAAATACAATAAATATTTTTTAAAACAATTTCATTGCCATGATTCGGTAGATTATATATCGATAGATTTTTGTCAAACATACAATACATTTTTTTAATTTTTCATTAATATTGTACTTGGTTTTCATGAAAAAATTTATTTATCATTTAATAACATGAAAGTTGACATTATTAACTGCAACAATTAGTTATTAGTTTTTGTCACTCTGCAGTAACTTCTATGACTTATACATTAGATGTTATTTTTTTTTCTAAAATCCTCCGCTTTCTAACTATTTATTAAACATACATGTTTGTAGTATAGAGATGGATGACCGTAGATTCTAATTTCAGAAGAAGTTAGTATGGGATGATCTATAACATATGTCGAAACTTTGGACAATGCACATTAAAATAAATATACTATTATATAATATAGTATTTTTTGACCCAAATAACTTCTTCTGAAATTAAACATACATATTCTGACTTCCTAAATTTCCGGAAATTCTTTTTCAAAATGAAAAAACATTTTTTCTTTTAGCCATTGATCAATTGTTTTTCATAGTTTATATTTAGCCATTTCTTATTATTGCTAACCACAAGAGACTGTTTAATATCTCAAATAAATCATATAAAAGGTAATTTAGAGGGAGTCATTTCAGCATTTAAGCACATTTACATAGAGATTATGAACGAGTGCCAAGCGTCCTTAATGTTCTTTAGTTTTCTACTTAGATTTTGATTGAAAAGTTTCTTCATAACGGACTGCACAAAGTGGGACCAAAGGGTTTTGGCACTTTTTACGTTATTCTCTGAATTAAAACTACCAATACCCAATCAGGTCGAACAACGAAAGAACTAAACTGCAAGACCGAGACCGATTTTGGGCAACACTACATCTTTGCTTCCTTTATTTTAATTATGATTAACGTATTTCAATTATATTGATGAGGTATTTAATTGTATTTCCAAAAATATATGTGTATAGATAAACAATGTTTTTTTCGTCGTAGTTAAATTTTAAATGAAGATGCTTATATAATAATTTGAAAATAAAATCATTCAACGAGAATAGATTTAGAGGGAGTTAATTCAGCATTTAAGCCGTGTCAGATAAGACCCGTTTTGTTTGGTCTTTTTAATAATGAATACACTTTAGAATGAATGTTAATTTATTAAATGAACAATAAAACTAACATTAGTAATTTTGCCAGGGAATAAAAACATTTATAGGTTTTTAAATCTTAATGACTGAGCTTGCTGATTTGTGCTTAAGTGGTTAAGTGCTCCAGACAACTTGTGTAATAATCACCAACAACTAAGAAATACCTTCCTTCATTTTCTGCAATATCCACTCCAACTTTGAAAAAGGCAGGCTAGGTATATCATGGGTGTATAATTCTTTTTTATTTTGCTTCACTAAAAACTTTGTCATATCGAACAAGACATAATGATGCTTTTAAGATCAGATATTGCAGGTCAGTAAAAAAATAGTTTACATTACTTTTCACTTTTTCGAAACCTAAATGGGTTTCATGAAGCCAACGCAAGATATACTTCCTTTGAGATAGTGGCACAATCAATCTTTTTTCAAAATATATCAATCCTTCGCTTACAGTAATTTCATTCTTTAAATTGGAATAATGCAGTAGATCACCATGTTCAGATTTATAGAAGTATTTTGGCTGGTTACTATGATAAAACCCTATTACCATTGATAATACAGGATCCTTTTTGATTTCTTCCACAATTTTTTTAAATTCCAGATCTGAAAACTGATTTTAGCTCCCACTATATGCACTATATCCAACATGCACGAGTCATCCTTGACATATTCGGGCTGGTAGTTTCGAGAAAGAAGGTCAGCTATCAACCTATATCGTCCAGACAAATACTATAACTCAAATGAGTGGTTCAAAATTTTAATGTTAATCGATGAATACTGATGTTTTCAATTTTGTTGAGATTTTTTATTAATAATGGTTGCCAGGGGTAGATGGTCAGATAGACCGTTACATATTTATGCCCATATACAAAATTGTAGAATTTTCGAAATGCAAAGTTTACTGCAAAGTTCCTTTTCGAATGGATCGTAGTCACATTCAGTTTCAGGGAGATTTCTGCTGACATGCAACATAGGATGGAAAAGTAAAGTAATAACTAACAGTTATTAAATGAAAGTTTGACCAGTAAGAAGCAATTATAAAATAGAAGTTATTATCAGCAACTTATGACTAACACTGAATGTTATCTTAAACCTCCATATAATATTTAAAGTAGGTAATACAATTTAAGCAACTCAAAATATAAATAATATTAGATAAGTATAGTAAGATAGATCAACCAATAATTACCTAACAGGAATATAATTGGCTCGAAACATTCATGAGACTCAAGCAAAGTTATGCAGTGATTATTAATATCAATCAAAGATCTGGTGGCTCTGCATGACAGCCATTGCTGAAGGCTGTCACTTAGTGAACCATTCACCGGAGCCCTTCCTCGATTAGCATACTTAGTTGATATAGTTCCTGTGATTAATTACAATTCAGATAATTCATAAATATCATTTTAAAAAAGAATATTACAAATTAGTATGCTCAAACCTAATAAACTTAAGGACCACTTAATAAAAATGATCCTCCAACCAGCAGAGTTTGTGGAAATGAAGTTATACAATGATAGGTGAATTTCATTTAAAATACTGTCTCCCTGATCAAATGATGAAGATGCTGGATCTAGATTACCTCCATTCTAAAAAAAAAGAAGTTTAAAACTGATGCTTAAAGTAAAGACAATGCAATAAAAATGTTTAAAGGAAAAACCTCTAATTGTGTCAAATAATTCGCAACTGACTTCTCATAAAATGATCCGAAATATTCGAGTACAGCATCTTTAGATGCAGGGAGAGATTTTAAAAGGGAAAATCCCTTTCTGATAAGTTCTAAAGGGCTACCAGTAGATGGTTTACCAACACCAGCTATGAATAATCTGAGTTCTGCTCTTAGATCTTTAGGAGGAAGCTGTTTAATGACGCTGGTACCAGGGACGTTCATTTTGACAAAATTAAGTCCAATTCACAACTGAAACTGAAACAACTCTTTTAAAGAAACCTTCGATCTTGGAGGTTATAGAACGGACTGGAGGCCATTTAGATACCTTTCAGGCAATCTTTGAACTTTAACATCAGTTCTAATTCCAAATATTTCAACATTACAGATAACACCATTCAAACTTTACTATATGCGCGAAATATTTGTAAACAAAATCTGGTTCCATCGAGAAAGCGTAGTTCAAAGAACCTGTTGGAAGGGAAGGGAAGTGTATAAAGTTCCTACCTCAATGTAGAGCTCATTCGTGGCATCATAAATCCATCGGGTCGTACCTTTATTGATTTAAATACTTAAGAAGTAGTTTTACTTCATTTAGTGTGTTAATCGAATGCCAATTGTATGATCAACTGAAATCTTCCAGGATTACTTTGAATTTACAAATAAGTTTTCTATAGACCTCTTCTATTTCTGCTGAGCGATCAACATCTTTAAACAATATCGAATTCCATATCTGACATTGGTATTCCCAAATCCTAGTTTGAGAGCATATTTTAAAAAATTATATACACTAGCGGATCCAGGATTTAATTTTGGAGGAGGGGCTTCAGCCCGAAAGCTTTTTTTTCATATATACAGTGATGGAAAAAAGTATATGCACATCATGTTTTTATGAATAAATGAGTTAAAGGAACCAAAAAACTTCGCTTTCCCCTGCAAAAATGAAATGTACATTTGTTAAAAACTGAAAAAAAACCTTTTGGAAAAAAATGACAACAATCCATAATGGAATAAAAAAATTAAAACAATAAAAGTGCTTGGAAAAAGGTATTTGCACACTATGACTCACAAGCTGTTTACTTTGGCATCAATCCTCCTGTGTCCATAGGTCATAGGTTTGTTTACTAATTTATCTCTAATCGTTTATTACCAGTATTCTCTTGTCTTTCAATCAGTTTCCTTTAGTCAATAGACAATTATAATGCAAAAGACAAGTGAACTGTGCGCCGCAACTCGCGAAAAAATTGTTTTACTGAGGAGTCAGCAAAAAACACATCTCCAAATTGCCGATTTCTAAGGGTTGAATTTTTCTACAGTGAGATACGTCATAAAAAGATATGAAGAACGTGGTTCAACTGAATACAGTGAGCGTAAAGGGCGTCACAAAAAAGGTAACTCCAGGCTGAAGAGGAAAATCAGAAAAGAAGCTCTTAAAAATCCTCTGATAAGTTCTCGGGAGCTGGCTACCATGGTCCAATCAACGTCTGAAGTTCAGATTACTAGCAGAACAAGTAGATATGCCCTGAATTCGGAAGGGCTCCATGGTAGAGTTCCAATAAAGAAGCCATACATCAGTGAAACGAATCGCAAAAAGCGCCTTGCTTTTGCTAGGGAGTACGTAAAGAAACCCTTAAGCTTTTGGGAAAATGTCATCTTTTCTGACGAAAGCAAATTTAATTTGTTTGGTTCAGATGGTCGGAAGACGATATGGCGGCATCGTAATGAAGCCCTAAAGAAGAAAAATGTTTTAACAACTGTAAAGCGTGGTAGAAGACATGTTATGGTTTGGGGTGTGTTTCTTACCATGGCGTGGGAAATCTAATGAGCATCGAAGGCATTTTAAATGCGGAAGGCTATGTGAACATTTTGCGACGTAATATGCGTGTTGGTGCCGAAAAAATGGGAATCCAGCATAGTTACTATTTCCAGCAGGACAACGATCCAAAACATACTGCGAGGAGAACAAAGGAGTGGTTAATATTTAATGTTCCAAGACAGCTCCACACTCCTCCTCAAATATAAATATCATTGAAAATTTATGGCACACCCTTGACCAAAATGTAAGAAAACACCATATCACAAGTGGACATCACCTTAAACAACTTCTTGTTCAAGAATGGGAACAAATAAACGTAGATTCAATAAAAAACTTAGTGCATTCAATACCCAGACGTCTACAAGCAATTATTGATGCAAATGGCCTATTTACAAAATATTAAAACTATTAAAATTTAAAATAAACTTGTAAATGTGGAAGTGTGCAAATACTTTTTTCCATGCACTTTTATTGTTTTAATTATTTTGTTTGATTATGAAGTATTTTTATTTTTTTGTAAAAAGGATTTTTCAGTTTTTAATAAATTTACTTTTCATTTTTGCAAAGGAAAGCGAAGTTTTTTGTTTCCTTGAACTACTTTATTCATAAAAACGTGTTGTGCAAATACTTTTTTTCCATTACTGTACATAACGATAATTACTTTTTGAAAAAAAAACAACAACACTATCTATATGGAATGGTATTAAAAGGATTCTTGAAACCCTAATAAATCTAATTAAACTAACAATAATACTTTAAGAGATAACATTTTAATATTTTTTACCATAGTTACATTTTATAATTTTGGGGGCTTCATCACGATAATTATATAATAATCAGCCGATATAATTCGTACATATAGCTTGGTTTATTATTTTGAATGAATTGTTAAGACCAAGGAAAGTAAAATTAATTCCTCCACATCGTATTAAAAAGCGACCTAATAAAACTTTTAACTTTGCCAACTTGTTCCCTGCTGGCGCAGAGTAGTTCGTTTTATGTGCCATTTAAAAACTATTGTATCAAAATTCAGAATTTGATGATCAATTATTCTGATTTCCGATTTTTGGCTTTTATTACCTAGACTATAATGTTAATTAAATTATTGTTTGATCTCAACACCGATCTCCCTCCATTGTCCATACTTTATCCAATACATCCACCAATCAGAGAGCCATTTCTCCCTCTCCTTTTTGCTTTTTCCCGCGTGAATTATATTGCTGGCCTGGTGTCAGCTTTTCACTTGTTGATTCCTAAATTGTTGATTTCAGCAGAATTGTAGTCAATTTAGTATTTAGGACAATTTGTGTTGTTTTCTGTTAGATTTTGTTTTTTGTGTTTCCTCTGTATTCTAATCAAGAGAAGATGACTAGTGTTCAGAAAACCATAAATTTTCCTGCTAAAAAGAGATTTTTGACACGTTTTCAAGCGAAACATGAAGGAAAAGAAAATAATCAAACTGTAAATGATCAGAAAAACAACTCACCTTCTAAGGAAAATGCTATTAAAAGAAGTTCTAGTGGTAGTTTTCTAATGTTTTATCTTTTAACATAATAAATTTATTCTGTCTATAACTTAAGTTATTTAACAAATACTGTTAATTTTAGAAGCCATTCTGAATGAAAATAGTTGCAGTCCTCCTAAAACTCCAAAAAATGAATCAAAGGAATCATCAACTAGCATTCCTCTAAAAGAAGGTGTGTATATAATATTTATTTATGTATATGTTTGATAGTTGTACCAAACTATGTTTAAATTTGTGAAATATTTTGTGAAGAAACTATAATTTTCCTGCAAAATGTTTTTACTTAGTCATGCTTTTATAATGTGCGGAAATATTGTTTTGATTTCCACAAAAATTAAAGTAAACATCATTTTATGTTGAATCAATCTCTCTTTATTCTTTTTACATCTTTAGATGAAAACTTGTCTCAGGCTATTAGAGTTCTTCATTCTGGTCAACCCCAAAAATTGTACCAACGTCGTGACAAAATTGACAATATTTCAGAAATTATATTAAAAGCTCTAGAGATTAGGGAATCAACAACAATTTATATATCTGGACCTCCTGGAACTGGTAAAACAGCCTGCGTGAACCATGTTATTTCACAGAGTAGTGTAGGTATAGTTATTTTGGAATATCATCGCTGAGATTGTTTTAAATGTTACTAATCAATTTTCACCTTGCAGATTTCTAATAATTACAAAATTGTTTATGTGAACTGTACTGGACTGAAATCTGCGAATGCTGCTTTTAAAAGAATTGCTTCTGAATTGAAAATTAAGGTTGTAGGTAGTGAAAAAAAAATTTTGGATGCAATTGAGAATCATCTGAAGACCACTCAAAAAATGATGTAAGTACCAGTGATAATTTTTTTTCTATTTCTATTTTATAATGTAGTTGTAATTAATTTTTTTTTACCCCTATACTTTTGATAAATCAGTTCAGGAATTATATTAAAATTAATGAAATAATTTCTCTTAGTAGTAATATAGGTTTTGATATTTATTTATTTATTTTTGTATCACTTGAAAAGTTGCACACATTTATTAATCTTAATTTTTTTTTGTTTTAAATAATTTTGATAGCAATGTACAAATATCACTCCACCTTCTCCATTGCATAAGGATTCCTTGTTTGGAGTGTAATCTTCCTTTATTTCGATTATAATTTTCAGCTTCGACAAACTCCTTACTGGTCCTTTTCAATTAAAATCTGGAGGTTAATTAGTTATCTTAAGTTAAGTAATGCTTTTGACTCTTGCTTACTATGCTCACTATGAAGGGATAAATATACCTCTAATGGGTCTTTTTTAGTGGAGATCAGAGCCACACCAAACCGTTCAGCCACTTCTATCTACTTTCGAACACACCCTCTGTGTTTATTATCACTTTCTCTATGTTTATTTATACCAAAAGGGATCTTGACCCACTGAACAAGATGGAATGACATTTGTGCAGTGGTTTAATAATTTTTATTGGTATATTTATCAAATTATTGATAGATAATATTTGTTATTTTATTTATGTTTTCTTATTTACAGAATGCTTATTCTTGATGAAATGGATCAGTTAGAAAGTAAAAAGCAAACCCTTTTATATACCATATTTGAGTGGCCTTTAATGTACAAATCGAACCTAGTTCTCCTTGGAATAGCTAATGCTCTTGATTTAACTGATAGAATTCTGCCAAGACTGGAGGCCAAGCTGGACATTTTACCAATATTAATTAATTTTCCACCATATTCAAGAGAAGAAATCTGTGAAATATTAACTGATAGATTAAAAGAGGTAATTTGTGGGAAAACATAATTTTCATTGTTTTTTAGATACAAATCTGATATATATATATATATATATATATATATATATATATATATTTCTAATCAAATTGCCTTCATTGGGCATCTTTAGCATCATTCAGTGGTTTTTTGCTTGTAGTGTTGAAAGTGAATAGCTGATTTCCTAGAATTGTAAATGTGTAGATGCTTCTTAAAAGAATATTGTCTAGATGCTGAAGGCTTAATTAAATTCTTGGATATTTTAGTTTTAAAGTATAGGGGGATTAAGTAGACCCCACAATAAGATACAAAATGAATAGATCAAGATCTGAAAACAAGTAAAAAAAGTATTCTATACTAATGCATAAAGAAAAATGTCCAATAAGTGTTGTTAAACCAGTAAAAGATCTATAAGGTCTGCTAAGTTAAGAGAAAAAAATAGTACAGAGAAAGTATTGAGGGGAATAATTGGAAAGAATTTTCACTTCTGGGACTTAGGTTTGGGAATTGGGAAATCACTCATCTTTCAAGAAGTAATTATTTAGAAAAACTGGGTGATGAAAGGAATGCTGTACAGCATATAGCAGAAACCATTATTCTGGACGTACTTGGAATTCTGCATCACCACTTATATGAATTCTTTGCTTTGTAAAGTCTTGAGACAGAAAGGGATTACAAAATAATGAAAAGGAGGAAAGTCATAATATTGGTATTTATAATTGTAGTTCCATCTAAATTTTCCCTTTGTTTGTTCATAAATATTATTGAATAAATTGGGGAGCATGCAGTGTCAATTAGCAACTCAACTCAGTTGAGCAGTCTCACAATTTTATTGTACTTTAGTTTGGATAGGATATCTTTTTATGGCTTGACTATAAATGTTTATTATGGCTTGAATAGTATAGAGGTGGTATCTATCAAGGTTGTTTTCATCTTGTGATACATTCTGTGCATTAACTTTTCTGTTGTTGGACATTTGCCATGTACTATGAGTGCATAGTAGTGAGGTATGAGAGATAAATGTTTTATGGATAAAACTTTTTTGATTTAAGTTAAAATTTCATTCTTAATTTACCTTTTCATATTTGTACATGTTTGTAGGGTGGAGTAGATGATGTACTAAAAGGAGGGGCTCTTCAGCTTCTTGCTAGTAAGGTTGCAGCTGTTTCAGGAGATTTACGCAAGGCATTAGACATAGGGAGAAGGGTTCTCGAAATTACTCAAAGTAAATCAGAAAGTAAGTATATTGATTTGGTATTTACTAGGTCAAGATACCATTATTCATCTAATTTGATGTTTCGTTGATATTTTGATGTTTCTTTAATTTTCTAGTTCATTTAAACAACTTTTGAAGATTAAATAAGTTTTGTGATGAACAATCATATATAGAATTACTAATGGCTAAGTTAAATCAAATGATGTGCCAAATTTAAATTTAACTTTTGAAGTAATGAGAAAATTATTTTAAATTATCTTACAGCAAAATTTGTTTGTATTAATAAAAAATAAAAAAATTATAACTTTCTTCCTTCAGAATTATTCAAACTTATTAAAACATAATTAACTTTCAAAACACAATTTAACTCAAGTTTTTAATTTAATTTGCTATTCATTTTTTTATTCCAAATATCCTTATTTCTTGCTACTGTTGCCTAAATGTCACCCACCCTCTACATTATTTCGTCTCTCCGTCTTGTGACAGGTCTCCTTCTTCTTCTCTTGATATTCCTTCAATTTCCATTCTGTAGCACTTTTCTACCATCTTCTTGAGTTTGATCTGGCTACATGACCAGTTCATTTTCATTTCAATAAAACAGCTTCTTTTGATAGGCTTTTAAGCTCGACATGACTGAACTATTTTGTTGCTGATCCCATCTTTCCTCTAATTCCCAGCTTGTTTTGGCAAAATTGAAATTGTGTCCTATTGAGCTTATTGTAGTTTTTTCTGACCATGTCTGAGCTATTATAAAATTATTGGATAAATACATTTTTCCAATACTTTTGACTTGATTACTGAAGATATTTGACTTTTGTATATGTTTAGGCTCCAAAATTTTTTCTATCCTAAATTAATCCTATTTATTTCTTCTGATCTATTGTTGATGGATATGATCCGTCCAAGATAAACATACTGTTCAACAAAGTTAATTTCTTACTTCCATCTCTCCTTTTTGAGAATTTGTCATTATCTTAGTTTTTTTTCACATTGATATGTAGACCCAGCAATTCCCATTGTATTTAAAGCTCATTGACCATTTCATTAATTTCCGTTATTGAGTTGGCAAAAATAATGTCTACGAATCTCAGATTTGGCAACTTACACCCATTTAATGAAATATCTCTCTCTCTCTCTCTTACCAGTTCAGCTTCTTAAACACATAATTTAGTATGCAGTTGAATAGAATCGGAGACAGTGGGCAGCCCTTTTTAACACCTCTTTCAATTTTTACCATTTTATTGTTTCCTTTCATGACTATATAAGACCTGCTGTTCGTATCTATCAATTCTCTGTTCTTCTAAAGCTTTCCAAAAGTGATGGTGGGATACAGTGTCAAATGCTTTCCTGAAATCAATATACACGAGGTAGATCTGAATCCTTACTTTTTTCTATAGTTTAGTTGAAGAACATTAGCTATAGTAATTTATATCATTATAATAATTATGACTATTGTTATTGTCTTTAAATCAATAATTAGTTTTTAGAGGAAGTTAATATATTTGTCAAATTATTGAAGAGGAGAGTATGAGAAGATGAAAAATGAAGGAATGTGGATGACCTTTAATTATTAGCCAAAGTATAATAATAAACTTAGAAATATTTTTCCTTATGATAAAAAAATAATTAATTCAGCATCAATTATATGATTATTTTTTGTATGGTATTTAACTTGATAGAAACCTTAATTAATTCTTTGCTAAGTATCTCTCTGAATATGAAATTTAAGGAAAAGTTTGATTAATTCACTTTACATCATTTTGGTTTTGAATTTTTAAATTGAATTAAATAAATTTGATAAAACAGTGGAGTAGTGTAGATCAGCTTCTTATACTGAAGCTCCTTGGTTCGAATCCCAGCTCTTATGGCAGGGCAGATAAATTCTTTATTCTGTTTCATCATCGATCGACCCAGGAGTCAGGGCACGCTCCTGGGACACACCCAGTCTCTATAAAGTGGGTACCCTTAATTAAATAATTGATCAAGGGAGAAAACCTGCTGGCGATTGAGCGTGATCTCCTTGGTCAAATCACCTCCTTGTATGACCGTTGACCATGAAACAGTACTTTCTCTATACATTACTGAACCCAAGACCCTTTATGGGTTGTAGTGGCACAGATTTTTTAAAAGTAATTTTTAAAATGTGTTGTCACTATTCTTATTAAAAACAATTCTTTATGTATTTTTTTTTTTTTTTTTTTGTTACAGGTAGCAAGCAAGTGTCTTTACAGGATGTTCTGTTAGTGGTTAATAATGTGTATGGAACTTCTAGTACCTTAAATGGCTGTACCAATTCAGAAAATGCTGAAAGTTTTCCGTTACATCAAAAAATGTTGATTTGTACTATGATTTTAATAAAGAAAAATTCCAAATGTAAAGAAATTACTGTTGGGAGGGTAAGTTTTTAACTTTTAATACTTATTGAATTTTAATTTGAAATTTAATTTAATGTGCTGTGCATTAGAAATTGAAATAAAATGTGTAATTTAATATCTTCTTTCATCGGTTTTTCTTTTCTAGCTTCATGATGTTTATAAAAAAGTTTGTGCCAAAAAAAACATGACTGCTATTGAAATATCGGAGTTTCTTGGTCTTTCTGAACTAGTAGAATCCCGAGGAGCTATTAAAATTCAAGGAAAAACAAGGAACAGATTATCCAAGGTATGAAGTAAATTATACTGGTAAAGAATTACTGCACTTTAGCAGTATGTAATTATAGTTCAAAGATCTTATACAAATATCAAAAAGTAAAAAAAATGTTGAAAAAAAAAAAGAACAATTGAGTAAATTGGTTTCCTTTGGAAAGACTAATTTTATTACAACTAGTAGGCCCGTGTGAAAAATTCGCACAGCATATTGTTATGAAATGCCAGATTAATAAGAAAATAAAGTAATGCAACGTATCAACAGATAAAGAAATCAGATGTTACTTTATCGATAAATATAATCGACAAAGAAAACAAAAATTAATTTAAATCTTCATTTTTGTTTGGAACCAACATGTTTACAAATTTCAGTAAGCTGTATCTTTGCTAAAAATTGTCCGATTTCAATGATTTTTTTTTCCTTTTGTAGGGAACTAAGTAATCTTGTATATAATCACGGGCATAACCAAGGGAAAAGTGTGTATTTTTTTTTAGTTATTCGCGAATAAAGTTTGTTTTCTTTTATAACTTGTTTTGCCTGAATTTTCGGAGTGATTGGACTATTTTGTCCGCCTGAAGGAGAAGGAAGCCTTTGAAATTGGTGGCTCAATCTTGAGATTTAGTGAAAAATTGACTATGATACGGCTTGCCGATCAAAAACATGAGTACATTTGGTGAAAAATCAAATTTATTTTTGATCTTCATCCAAATAAAAATTATCTCTTGTTTTTGAACAGTCCTTTCCACAACAGTTTTTACAAAGTCCAGAACATGAGTTCTTATCAGTGGCATGTACAGGTTGTCTGCAAACAGAGAACAGGCAAAAAAAAAAAAGTTACTGAATAAAAATAAATGATATTATTTATAATAGTAGATACCCAAAAAATATATTCTTTAATAGAAGTTTTATTTTGGGACTTAATTGGGAATTACTATCCATTTACAAGAATAATGTATGTTACCATTGGTTCTACCGCTATCTCTAAAGGGGACCCTACACAGTCATTCGGAATTGGATTCCGAGGCACTAATGATGTTCTGAATGATCGTGTTAGGTAATGAATGAAGTACTGTACTGATGGACGTGTCTGGAATCAATCCGGAAATCAAAGGTTCATTCATTAGAAGTGGAGGGGAAACTGAGGTAAAAGTAGTGGAGAGACTAACCATACTACTTACTACATAGGTTAGTTTACCTAGGCCTCACAACCATTATAATAAATTCCTCATTTTCATTAAAAGTAAACAGTTTTTCATATCCCTTGTTTATATATCATAAACCATCAACTATTTTTTTAAATAGTCAAGAGGGCATACAATTTTTAAAAAAAGTGAAAACTTCACAATTTACTTAAAGAAAAAAATTAATCTTTAGCTGCTGTGTATATTTGTCAGTTCTTTTCCTATTTTTCTCAACAAATTTATTATTTTTTCAATTCCTTTCCTTAAATTTTGTAAGTAGTAGACTTATGTTTTACCAAATTTTGTCAAACCGATTTTCTATGAGACTCCTTACTATTAGATAGGTTAGTTTACCTAGGTTGATTTATATTTTTCTTACTTTGGTCTAAACGATTTTCAGGCACTGAGAATTAATTATTATTTCTCCATTTTTCTCTTGATATCCAATACTATAAAGGACAATGTCCAAATACGCTTTTTAAGTTAAAAATATTATTATAAATGGACAATCCACCAGATCCATGCTGCCTGTTATCTCAATGTCAACTGAGCTAAAACGGTCAGTAATGATTGAACTTGTAGGGTTCGTCATGATCAAAGCGATCCCCAGCAGTCTTTGTTATTCTTGTGACTTTCATTCACCAATGATCATTTAAGGGTCGCTTAATACTATTTCTGCTGTATTGTATAGCATATGGGCCCTTTTGAATAAAAATCTCAACTTATTCCTTTAGGGGCTTATTTCTTTCAGTTTTGACACCATCTATTTGTTTTTTCATATAGATATATATCAAAATATTCACGATTTGTTTGTGAGTATTCTTTGACAGTCCAGCAGATTCAGAGGCTAGAGCTCTGTCTATCTTCTCCCTGTTTGTAATGATGAAATACAATAAATTATTCTAGAACACTTGGTTCTCTTAAAATAATGGCAATTACAGTTTCATTATTCTGACATAAAATCAACAACATAATTAAATTATAAAACTACATCACCCTATGGGTACCCCAATAATCTCCATGTATAATATTTGGTTTAGGGTGCAGGAGCTATGAGAGTCGGGCACTGCACTCCTACGATCGAGGTCGTGGGTTTGAATCCGGCTGTGCCAGATATTTATTCTGTTACATCATAGATTGTTCCTGGAGTCAGGAGACTCTTTTGGGCACGTCCAGTTTCTATTAATTGATTACTTTTAATTAAGTTGAAAAACCTGACAGTTGAGCATGATCATCTCGCTCTGATCACCTTGCACAACCATTGCCCAAGAAATAGTAATTCCTTGCCTAAGCATACTCCAAGACCCTTCGTGGGTTGTTGTAGTAGTACAGGTAGGGCTTTTATTGATGTCAAAATTCAATATCTTAAAAAACTTTTCTTAGTACAATAATAAATAATTTAAAACAATCATTATTTAGTTTTATTTAGCTCATTTTTAAAATAGTTGTTTTAGAATTATGCTTTGGACCAAATTTTAAGTATGAGACCGTTGAGATAGCCCAATGATATTTACTTGTTAAAGAGACGATGAAATAAGTATTTTAAAAAATAATTTAGAATTTTAATCAACTTTGTCAATCAATAAAAAAAGCATACCTTAAAATTACAAAAAATCAAACAGTATGCAATGGAATGATTTGGTTACCCCTTGGAGTACTCTAGTGCATCTCCCCCTTTCAACCTCTGGTGTACACTATTTTTTTTTTTTTGAACACCCTATATGTTAAGTTCATGCCAGCCAAAAACTTCACTATGAAATTAGTTTGTTGTCCAACGTTTTTTGTTGAGTCAGATTGTGTAAGAAGACGATTTAACATTTAACAAATTAAATGTGAAGTAATCGTGATTTTTGTCCTTTTCAAAAAAAGGATTGTTGGTTATTTATTATTTTGTTATGAAATTGTAAACTTTGTACACTGATTTTCAGTAAAAAAAAAAAAAAAATTATTTCACAAAACTTTACTGTTAAAAAATGTTTCATTATTTTATTTAAAACTTCAAAGCTACCATCTACTAATACTACCTCATAGTATATTCATAATAATACCTGGAATTTATTTATTTATTGAAAATATCAAATGTCCTGTAAATAACTTTTTTAATTTTTTCTAGGTGCTATTAATGTGGGATGAAGCTGAAATTGAAAATGCATTGCAAGACAAACAGTTACTTGCAACAATATTAGATGATGTGTCATGTTTGAAATGATTGAGAACTATCTTTGAATTGTTTACAATAAGTTTGTATATATAATTAAGCACGATACTTTTAAAGTTTCCTTTCAATTTTTAGCTGGTTATTTTTATTTTATACATAAATTATTTTACTTTGTTACATAATGATATTTTGTTGATAAAGTGGCTTTATTATTCTATAATGTTTAAATATCTTCCAAACCTTTGGCATTTATTTAAATATTTAATTAATCACTTTTTTTTTTTTATTTGAAAAACAGTTTTTTTTTTAACACCTTAGAGTAACACCAAAGAATAAGAATAATATGTTAGCAATTATGAACTGACCTGACTTATATTTATTTATTTATTGTACTTTTGAATGTTGTAACATATGTACAGAATTTAAATAAATTTATTTATTTTTGAAGATGGTTAGCTGTTTTTCTGTAGAGTTCCTGAACTTATTTTGATTCCTCTGCAAATGCATATTTTTTAACAATTTTTATTTAGTTCTTATGTGGTATATTTACTTTATTATGAATATATTTCCTTGTTTAGACTAAATTTATGAAGTCATATCATATTTGAAGATCCAAATAGTTGTTTATTTTTTTAACATTATATGAATGAATGAAAATAATTTTATTATCCAGGGACTAGTGTCCCTTTAGAACAAGTTACAAATACAGAATATATATTAATATTTTATTAATTATTAATATATGGAGCAATATACCAGATGTGTAAGTAGAAAACTGGAATTTTCGTTAATAAATAAATAAATTTTGTTAATAAATGTTACCAGATATTTTATTCTAAATATTGCCCAATGCTATACATGTTTCTCATCTCCGGCAATTTACAAATGCCATGTCAAAAAAGTACTACTCTATTTTGACGAACCAGTCGCTGAACCATTTTCATAATAAGTAAAGTGGTGCCGCTAAGCAGATGCGTGCCCCATCGATGCTAATAAATAGTAATCAGACGGAGTAAACTTTAGTGAGTAAGTTACATATACTAATATTCCTTGTATGTGTTAATTTTCTTAACTGATTATTTAAGATATTAAACCAATATTAATTGAATTTGCCTTTTAAGTGTTAAAAAAATAAATAATTTCATTTGAATTATTTGTTGGTGTTGCATCTATCCTTTTCATTTTATAATAAAAGTTTCACCTTTATTGAAAGAAGAAACATCTAATTGCATTAGTTATAAATGAGGTAACTTATGATTTCGAAAGTGTTGGCCAATAGCAGCAGCATTTTGAAGGTGATAAACTCTTCAGTAGTTGATGTGTGAATAACTTGGGAGTTCTAAGATTTATATCCAACCATTAGTAAAATTTTTAATGTCAATTTAGACTAATATTTAAAAAATATTGTTTAAATATCTGATTTAATGACCTCATAATTTATCAGAAATGCATGTTGTATACATTATATTTCTAAAAAAAAGTAGATAAAATTAAGTTTCTAAAAATAGTCAGTGATATTTGTGTTAACTTCTGTTTAATTATGAAGTTTTAACCTTATTACTGTAATTCATAAGTCTCCATCTACCTGAGCTGGAGAATGCAAGCGCCTACTTGTTATCTAGAAATATTTCCTTATGTTGATGATTTTTAAATCTAATAACAATTTTATAATCCTGAATCTTTTAGTATTTTGCCTCATTACCGAAATCATTTGAAGATATTCTGTGTAAAGGAACTTACTTTTTTTGCCAGAAAAGTATTGGCAATTTTGATTAAGAATGAAAACCACCTTATCTCATAGGAATTATGTGAGAGTTTTGAGGGAAGAAATAATCACAGGCAGGGATCTTCCATATTAAATATATCTTCAATGAGCTATATTTTTTGGAACATTTCTTTAAAGGAGCACGAATGAGAGAGAGCATAATATAACAATTAATCAGAACTGGAGTTTTTATTATGAAATAGAGACATTTATTACAACTACATAGTGAATACCATTTTAGTATGAAAGACTTGAAATAAAATTAGACAGGAACAGAATAGATTTTATCAATTCTTACTTATGTACTGCTCAAAGTAATTATAATTATAGCTCTGGTTAATATTAAATAATCATTAATTGTGGAGATAAGATTGAAATAAGCTGAAACTTCTGCTCACAAGAAACTATAGCTTTTAAATGTGCACTTTCATCTTTAACTGCATTCCCATCCATCTGTTAAAGTAGTTATTGATATTCAAGTTGACAATTTAATACAAAATTCTGTAGGCTAATATAATTATGAAACATCAAATTATTTTATATTTGAAAGTATATATTTAAATAATACTATAATATTCTCTAATAATACGAACATTCTCTCTCCCTCAATCATTCATTTGATTTCGACAAAACATCCATCCTTGCCACAGTTCTCAACCATGACAAACGACTCATTTCTGAAACCCTCCACATCCAGCTTCAACCAAAGACTCAATAGTTATTTTTCTTTTGAATTTTTCTTTCACTTTATATTAACTTTCGTTCAATTTTCCATAATTTTTCTGAGTAATATATCTCTCGTACCTATTTAGGCTTCCAGCGCTTTAGTTCAAACTTCGTCGGATAACCGTTAGAGACGACGCCACCTACACATCTCTTCTCTCTCCCCCTCCCTTATAACGACTTTTATTCTCCCTGCGACACTTAAGGAGACAGGTAGTACTTCTTTTATTTCTTTCTTATTTCAGCTTTCTCAATTTCTTCCCTCCTTCCTTTCATTCCTTTTTTCTGTTTTTAACTCTTTATTATATTATACATTGTCTGTACATCTTGATAGACTTTACAATATCTCAATTTTCTATCTAACTACTCCATTCTCAATGTTTTAATTTTACTATTTATTTTCATTTCTTATATAACTTTATATTTCTTTTTTATGTTTTACATTTTATTCTAAGATTCCCATTGTAACACTTTTGTCACCCCTTTTTGATTATGCCTACTTCATCATTCCACACTTTGTAACGGTTTTTATTATTTATCTCTTAGTTCTTAGTCATTATTCTAACAATTTCATTTTACTTTATATTTATCTATTTTATTTTTCTAATTTTTTTATTTTATTTTTTATTATCTTTTTTACCATCATTACTTATGTTTCTCATACCTTGTTATCTGGTTATTTTCTTAGCCCTGATGAAGGCCTGAACTTCAGGTCGAAACGTCGGCATATGTAAAAAATAAATATTATCATTTATTTTTGCCTTCCTTTTTGACTGAACACCCCAACTATTCTTCTCTTCATTATCCATGACAGTCAACCAATTACCAATTATGAATACTATAATATAGTGGAACAAAATAAAAAACTCGAAAAGTGTGCCGAATATTCCTGACGATGACTCTAGTGTTGAAGAATCAAATAAAATTGATCTATACAAGAGGAGTTGTCCCATAAACACCAGTAATTTATATGTGGAATTTCAGAACTTCTGATAAAGAGCCCCTGTCATCAGAATCAAACCGTCCACAACATTTATACAATTCAGTCCTCGCTCCTTTTTAAAACCTGCAGTTTTCTCATCCACTCACTCCACCTTCCTTATACTTATGTGAAATGCTTCCGTTGTGCTAGAAATTCATGTAAGTTGGTGCATATGGATTAGTGTTAGCCCATTGCAGTTACCTTAGTTTTTTCTTATATTTTGAAAAATACCAAAGTGAAATATGATGATAGAAGAATGACCAATAGATAATAAAACAAATTTTTAATATGGTTGAATTGTTTATCTCCTTGATGATCCCTTAATCATAAATAGTCTGAATTCTTCTTATCAATCAAATCATTCCCATTTATTTAAAAAATAAACTTACAGTTTTGATGAGATTTTTTTTTCTATTGGTAGTTTCACATTTATTTTCTATACTATTTTTTAATAAACTCTTTTAATGCTAAAACTTTTTTTTGCAAATTGGCATAAATTACTCGTATTTGACTATTTCTGAAAGTTGATAGATAAAATTATTTTCTTAGTTATGTGTCTTGAAAAATGATGTTTCAGGAAAATAAATGAGACTCATTATTTAGGAGGTTTAGATAGTGAGATTTGTTCACAAGTAATTTTGAATATTACATTTTTAGTTTTTCACTTAAGTGTAAAACTAAACAATAATGGACTCGGTTCATTGGAGAGATTGTGTAATTAATAATACTTTAACTGTATTGAAACTAGAATAATACTTATTTTTTTGTTTATTTTCTATAAAAGGGACAAAATTACAATATATACAAGTATCCTTTTTAAAATAAAAATTAATTTAAAGAAAATAACTCATTACATATATTGATAATAATAGTTTTTTTGTTACTGAAACTTAAAACATATGAAGTTGGTAAAGTAAAAATATGATTTTTAGACAAAAGTCTATAACAGCATTTCTCATTTAAGTTGTGGTCCCTTTGATACAAATAATTAGCTGTAAAGTCAGGCTATATTTCAAAAAGTTTAAATTGAATCAATTTTTAGGAGATTTTAAATTATTATTTTCCACTAAACTGGTAACACAAGAACATTTTGAAGCTTTTTAATAATACTTTAAACAATTTTCAACAACGGAACTAATGCATTATAATCTCTTAATTTTATTCTCTTGCTCTATATATATATATATATATATATATATATATATATATTTTTTTTTTTTTTTTTTTTTTAAGTCCTCTTAAGTAAGAAGCAATTAATGATTACTATTAAATAATAATAAAATTATATTATTTATCACAACCTGTAGCTATCTTTCTAAAAAAATAAATTAAAATATGAAAAAATCATCTCCTCACTTTAAAATGCATTATTTTATATTTATTAAAGTACTATTTGAATGGAATTTTTAGTATATTGCCATGAAGCCCCAACGTTTAAACAACAGATTCTTTAGCATCTTTTAAAAGGAGATCAATATCATTTTCTAATGATTTGTACAAGCTGTATTTTATATAAATTCATTTCTGATCATAGTAAAGGAACATAGATTCTGACAATATATATACACACTCTTATTTATGCACATAGCAACATTATATATTATAAACATTCTAATAATATAAAGAAATATAATTTTACATATAATACAATAGTTTGCAACAAGTACCCAAATATATTGGCAATCAATATTTCTGTACCTTTTATGTAAACTATCATTAATTACTTGAGGGTAGCCTATTATTCTAGATCAGTATATGAAGGGACATTATGTATAGAATGAACTTTATTAGTGAATATTTTCATATGCTTTCAATATTTTATTGTAAATCCTGAATTTCACAATGCTTCAACAAAACTTTATATTAAAGTAAATTAACACGTGATAGTTTACCTTTTGGTACAGATTTATGTAGTAATTAGGACTTCCCATAATCTAAACAAGTTTCTTGCATTTTGTGATATCATAAAATTACTGTTACCTTAAAATAAATATAGAACAGTGTCAATAGAAAATGCAATACCTTAAGGAATAATATTTTATCATCATTAATAATTTTGAATATGAAGTAATCCAAAGTGTAAGGACTGAATGACAGATTCTAATAAACAGCCTTATATGAGAACATTAATGAGTATGGAGGGTGGAGAGATTGAAAAGAAAGGACAACTACCATAAAGGGACTTTTGAAAATACAATAAGGTATGGAGTCCAATTAATACCATTGCAAACTCCTGTGTCAACAAGGGATTTAATAGTGAAAAAAAGTCTCCAAATGATTCTTCGGGAGCTATACGTAATTAAATAATTAGTGTAATGAATGAATTATACTTATTGTTTGTTATTATTGTTGCTAAACGTTACACCTTTACATACTTCCCCTAAGGAAAAATTACATTAAAAAGTAAGTAATGACTATGTTCATCAGCAATGATTGATAAGCAGTCTCATTCATACCTTTACCTAACATAGTCTAAATAAAACCAAAATTGGTAAATAAAATAAAGAAGTAATAATGAACTCATTAAGAAGAAGCCTTAGTATATCTTGAACAACAGAAGGTTATAATCCAGGAATAGAGCCTATGAATTAAATACAATAGCTAATATTCAGCTCTTACATTATTTACCTTGTTATGAAAACATTAAATGGCTATTAAAATACTTCATTAATTATATGCTACTGAAGCACATTTCACTATCTAATTTTAGTCTTCAGCTTTTGAGAAACTTATTTAGTATGAAAATCCGATTATTTGTACATCACTAAAGTGAATAAATTTTATTTAGCTGTTAAAAAGCTCACACTTTGTTCAAATCTTATGCTTATCATAGCTTTCACTGATATCTGCCAATGCATTTTGGGCCCTTTTGATCTCTTCGCAACATCTCTATTCCTATTAAGGCTGTATTTATTGATTACTCACTCTCACTCATTCAATCTGTGCGACAACCCATTACTGGGTATTTGTATCCTCAAGTGAATTACGCCAGTTTAAGATTATTTATTAGAGATTATTCATTATTATTATGGAGTTCAGCATGCATTGCAGATGTGGATTTCACATTTCTATTTTTAAAAATGATACTATTGTCTTCAAGTCTATAAATATGATTAGTTATTGCATTATAACTGAAATTTTTACAATTGGTATATTTTCATATTTTAAAAAATTGGAAAAGTTTGAACACTGTTCATTTATTAGAAGTGAATCTTTTAATTTTTGTCATCTGAGCAGAAAACCATGAGACATTACACTTTGCTGTTTGTAATTACTGTAACAGATGGAAATGATAAAGCTCTAAAGCATTTTCGATTCACACTATTCTGAAAGCTGATATATTTTATCTTTTCTGTAGTGAACGTTTGGTTCAAAGTTTATATTCATGAGATATCTGTTGAACATCATTTTAAATATAATATGATAGTGAATTATTTTAAAAATATCTTAAGGTAATGCTAAAATATAATGTTTTAATTTCTTTTTATAAAATGGATATAATCACCTACTACACAATACAAGATTAGAAGGCACAGAGATTAATATCTAAATAATAAAATAACTTTAAATCTTTACATAGAGCTAAGTTATAATAAATATGTTCCAATAAATGAGCAAATAAAAAATATTTAGCTTCAATGGTTAAACAATTCTAAATTTTAGATTGAGAATATTTTATATTCCCATTGTCAATGCATTTAGTTGAAGATATGGTTTGCATAGTTAAATGATTCCAAATTCATACAATTATTTCTATGCAATAAGTATTTGTATGTTAAAATGTTGGATAAGACAATAATGATTTTCTGTTAATACTTTTTTGGTGTATTTATAACTCAGTACAATTATTATCAAATATATTTTTGCATCATAAAAATGTTCTTATGTACATAATCTTTAGTATATTATAGTACACTATTTTTATTATTATTATTTTTTCTTCATAATACTGTTTAATTTGAAACTTAACAAACCACATATTCTCTCTTCTATCTCTCTTTCACACATACACACATACACACAGACATATATATATTAAACTGTACATGTAATTTAATGTATACATGCCTTAACTAAGATTTGCTTAAATTTAGCCCCTGTAAGGTAGATATAGAATGTGCATTTGAAATATCACAAAGATTTTTTCTTTTAATAATGCTTTAAATGAATCATAATTGATAAGGGTTTTCAGGCTGGACATGAAATTAACAGGCAACTTTTTATATTTATATATAAATGTGCGCATAGGAAACAAGGGGTGTTAATATAATATAATATATATGCATATCCACAATACTATGAAATAGGGCAAATAAGTAAGGTTCGACAGTTATGGAAATTTTAACAGTTTACACAGTAGGTCCCTATGTACTTACAAGTTTATATGATTCTATGTAATATTGCTATTAATAATTCTATTTTGAACAAATATCCCATTTTGATGTAAACTATAAACACTAAATACAAAATTTACAATAGATTAGGTCAAGATTAAAATTATTTCTATCACTTTTCATTCTATCAGCCCTTAATTCTTCTTACACTTATTAACAAGTAACAACCTATACAAAAGTGGAGAAAAAAAAAATTAATATAAAGGTACTTAACATAATTAGTCTCGGGTGGTCAGCCTTCTTATTTTTTAAACATAAGTAGAAAAACTAATTGTGATGAGAGGAGTTTCTATAAGTATTTTTATGAGCTTGATATATTTACAATGAGTGATATTGGACAGGTTTTAAGTTACTTTTTCATTACTTTCTTCTTCTTTTTTCGGATTTGTAGTAGTCTGGTCTTCACATTCTTCTTCTTTTTCTTTTTTCTTCTTAATAGCTGTTTCTATTAAATAATGCACATATTATTAAATTATAATTAATATTATGAATATATTTTTTTATATTTAATGAATAGTTGATAACTAACCCTTCATTGAGTGCACTTATTTGTGAAATTAGTGTTCTTTGTTTAAATCAGCCAAGTTTTCAGTTTCATGGTTTTAGAAAGTTATATTAATTTATTATTTGAAATCAGTAGTGGATCCAGGATTTAATTTTGGGGTGGGAAAAATTTATTGATTTCACCGTTGATAGGTCCACAGATATGGGCTTAGTAAAGTTCTACTGTATTTTTTAATTTACTAATTTTTTTTTTGCTTAATTATAATTAAGCTTTCTTAATTATATTTCAGGATAAAATGGTTTAACAAAGAAAATTTTTAAATGAATAAATAAATGTTTGACAAAACTTAACTGTTCCTATAACTAGATAATAATCTATTAATGTCACTACTGAATCTACCCCCAGTTCCAGTAATTGATAAGTCAAACCTAATGAAGGGTCAGTAAAAAATATTACATAAATTTGAATACAAACTATGAGTATTTACCATGAAGGGCTTTTTCTTTCCATATTCTCTTATTCTCTACAAGACAGTTAACCCAAGGTTTTTTAATTGTCATCTTATTCTCTGGTTTACTAGGCCCAGGAACTACAATACAATAAAAATATTAAAAAAGGTTAAAGCTAATAAATAGTTTTAAAAATAGTAAATAAAATTGGGAATCAGAAATGAAATGAGCCTGTATTTATTTTATCAAATTCCATCCAATATTTCCTCTTACGTACATATACTAGTATTTTCCCTGATACAGCTTTATCTGGAAAACTGCATGTTTAATTTAGGCCAAATTTGAATGGATGTTGCGGATTGTCAATAAAATTATCAAAAAAGTATCAATTTAATCAAGTTCCATCCAGTACTTCCAGAAAACCAAGGCTGCAAATTTTGAAACTGTGTATCTTCCTGTTGTTGAATCTATTTGATGGGCATAACAGCTACTGCTTTTAATTCAATTTAAAGAGAATATAAGTGCTAAAGAAAATTTCATACACACATATTTGTGCTGTTATAAATATATCAACGACCAGGAATTTTTCCCAAAATAACCTGAAAACTGAGGAAATTCAAGTAATTCAATAAAAAGATTTTGATGGACACTCTGTTGCTATTCACACACGTATTAAATAAATTATACTTTATTAAGGAAAAGATATTTTTGAATTACTTTAATTGAGTCATAAAAAAGTAAAACAATTTTTTTCTCTGTTTTACATTTTATTCTAAGATTACCATTTTAGTACTTATCTTATCTTATTTTGATTATGTTTACTTCATTAGTCCACACTTTGTAGCCGCCATTATTATTTATTTCATTGTTCTTGTTATTGTCATTATTCTATCTACTTTATTTTACTTTAATGTTCACTTATCTATTTCATTTTACTTTAAGTTTTTTTTTTACTTACATTGTTTATGTTTCTCATACCAATTGTTATCTGGTTCTTCTCTCGACACTTCAGGTTGAAATGTCGACAAATGTTAAAATAAATATTATTATTTATTTTTGCCATTTTTATTTTGACTGATCACCCCAACTATCCTTCTCTTCATTATTCACTACAGTCAACCATCAACCAACAATTGTAAAACAATTTTGTTCATCAACATATTTATTTTGCTTTGCCTTCATTATTGTTAGCTTAATGGGAGAAATTTTAAGAAATTTCATAAGTTCAATAGACGATTTAATCCCCTTGATCCAAGCAAGTAAGACTTCGATTGCAGAAAACTGTCTTCTATTCTCTGACTCTTTTTTCTTGAAGCAAATGATGATTTGGGATGAAATTTTGACTGAATTCAATTGGGGTTGTATATTTTTTGCTGTTACTGGTTTCTAAATGAATTTAGCTATAGATGAAAAAATAAATTCAGGTGAAGCATAATAATGTTGTAAAAAAAGGGGTGAACTTATAAGTACATTTCCATTGTACAAATTGCTTTTATTATTTTTGTTCTACATAGTGGGGAAAACAGAAAATATAATATTATTATATTATTTTAATACTAATCACAGATTTAGACCATCGTTTTATATCTGAATATGCAATGCAACAAGAATCTACTGTAATTCATGGATGAATGGCATTTGAAGATACTGATAATAATTACAACAGTTATTTAAAAATTGTTTTTACCATTATTACCAGTTTCGGTAGCTCCTTGTAGAGGCTGAGTGTTTGTGGATGTTGCAGGTGGTGGTGGAGTTAAAATTAATTCCAGCATGTCAGCACAAACTGCCATACTGGGTTCAACGATAAAATCTATGAAACCTAAAGACATACAATAGGCATTATATTTTCTCATAAATGAAAATAGATTTATTTTGTTTTTAGGATGATTAGATACAAGCAATCAAGCTTACTAATGTATAGCTATAAAAGTTCAAGATATTTCAAAGAAAATATATTTTTATAATTCTCTGTTGGTAACTTATTTTTAAACTTCAATATTAATTTATAATTTTGTCCACTCTATATTTTAATTTTTTTGTAAATAGAGAATGGGTATCAATCAGCACCATAAGTTCATATCATCATGAATGAAAGCTAATTTTAATTAGCTTTGCTTACTCTAAAATACAAAACTTAATGAGAAAAGTTAAGCATTCTATTTTTTTAAGAATTGAAACCAAAATACGATCTGAAAACATTAAAATGCGTTACAAAAAATTCTGTTTGAAAGTGTCTGGGAATTGATCACTTATTGTTGTAATTGTAAGAATATTTACACTTGTAAAAATATGTACTATTTTTTTTTTCAAATTTGTTTATATTTATTATAACATTTGAAATACTATCTATTGTAAAACAGTGACCATAAAGAGAAAAAAAATTCTAGATTTTGGTTGTTTTAAACATCAAAATTAATCAGAAAGATACAGAAACAAATGAGGAAACTTGTGGAATATTTTATTACTATGAACAATAAAAAAAAAAAAAAAAAAAAAAAAAAAAAAAAAAAAAAAAAAAAAAAAAAAAAAAAAAAAAAAAAAAAAAAAAAAAAAAAAAAAAGATCAATTCCTTACCTATCTGGGATTCTGCAATCATAGTATTGTTTCGGTCACACAACGGACTGAAAGGTAGGCCTAGCTCTCTTTCCATATCCCCTTGTCTGAAGAATTCTTCGAGTAGCCTTGTTGTCCACCTGTGATGAAGATCCCATCTTTTAGCAGGATGTGAAATATCACAGCAATGAAGAACAAGTGACAATACTTTTGACTTATCCACACTAAAAACAAAATACATAATACAACCATTGTTAAGTTCATTGAATGAACACATTTTAATAACTTCACATAAAAGTTAATGAAGAGAAAAAGTTAGTTATTTCTATATGAAATAATATACAGCTTAGGCTTTAAATTGATAGTTTCTACTATTACTCTAACCAATCCGCACAACACATTAATGGGTTCTGGCCTCTTCAAGCAGCTTTTTATATTTTTAATTTTTTTTTCTTTAAATATGTATCATATATACTCACTTATTTTCACCAAGTGATAATATACTTTTCATATTTTTCAACTGTTGAAAATGAAAACTCATGTCAGTTGCTAATACCATATCTATCACTAGGGATCGGAATTCTCTGTATTCTTCTGAAGAAAAGCTCTGAAGTATATTACAGTCCTCCTCTTTTAATAACCTACAAATTAAATTTGAACAATAATTCAATATTTGAAATTTTTTGGTTAGTAAATAACACTTTCTGAAGATTTTGAAAAATATTTTAACTAATTACCTGAAAGCAGCACTTATGTGGTGATTTTCTAATACTGCCCGGTCATTGTACAATAAGGCTGTTTCAGTACCAGACATAACATGGAAATTGTTTGTTGTACCGGTGTGTTCAAAATCATGTATTAATGCTGCTAGTAGTGTAGCAAAGATTTCAAGATCTGTTAACCAATTCTACAGAAACAAACACTTATTAAAGAAAGGAAATTGATGTACATTTTAAAAGTAAGTGGATTAATATCTTTAACAATGGATATATAAATGAACAAACCATTTGAGAGATGTTTTTATCAAAAGTTGATTTATCCACTGTTAGTTGAAAAATATTTCTTTGAAGATTCTCTATTTAATGGTTATTTAGTTACCTTTAAAATTTTAAAGATTTTTCTCAAGCAAACAATTGTAAAAAAACCACAGTATTTTCAATTAAAAATTGCTTATACATCAGATGATGGTCCATTATATTTATAGTTTTTTTATATAAACTTCTTGACAAAATTAACATATCACTGTATCATTTTAGTCACTAAATGTTACAGTTACCACTAGAAAATTTCTTCACTGCCAGTCTTAATTTGGTCTTTTACGAACATAGTGAATCTTTTCACTCATAGCAGTTAAAAGTCCCCCTGGCAACAGGATTCAAATCCTCAATCTTTGGTTTATTAGGTTGCCACGAAACATGTGTTTTACACAGATTGGTCACCCAGCCCTCTAGGCTTCATTTTCATCAGATAAAAAATTATTAGACTCTATGAAATAATAGGTGACTAAGGTCCCATTAGCCATACAAATAATAATATATTTGCTCGTATTTAGACCAGAAGGATCATATTATGACTAGGATTCAACTTAAATGTCTAGTAAATAAAATTTTCCAGGTATTGATTTCCATCTAGAGTGTAGGGGAATTAATTGAAGCTAATCTAAGCGATAAAAAACCTGCATCTGGTATGCTTTTCATGAGAGCTCCTAACAGAAACTATCAAATTGACTCATAACACATTCATAAGAATTTAGGGGCCTGGAAACATGTTCTTTTCACTCATTATGTGTGAATGGGTTATAGGGTATCAGATGGCCGTGTTTTCATTTTCAGATGATCATGTGAAGGATATGCTAACTAGTATGTTACAGATTTTACTCCAAGGAGGCTCAAACATGCTATGAGCTGGTATTTCTGTTGATACCCTTATAGAATTACTCACTGTCTAGCGTGAATTAGTCGATTATCTTGTGACAAAAATGGTGTCTGTCCTGATCCAGCAGAGATTGAAGCAGTGCCGAATTATCCTCGCCCTACAATATTAAAGAAAGTGAAAGCATTTCTAGGTTTAGTAGGATATTATAGACGACGTGTACAAGCTTTTTCTGTCATCAAACCCCTTACTGAGCTTTAAATTCCCTCGAAATGAAAGCTCCAATCTTGAAATACCCATTGATTTTCTCCGTCCTTTCATTCAAACAATTGATACATCAGGAGTTGTATTGGATCCAGTCCTTTCACAGAGCATAGTTGATGAAGGAATGGGGTTCACTTCCAGACTTCAAAACAAAGCCGAGCAGAATTTTTTAACAGAGGACAGAGAACTGCTGGCTGTAATTTGGGCTATAGGGAACTTAAGTCGTTACCTCTTTGGTAGACTTCTGGCAATGGATTTTCTGGGACTATTGTCAACAACAGAGAAGGATTTAATTTATCATCAATTTTGTTGATTATTTTGTCCAATATGCCGAAGGGATTCCAATAAGAGACATTTCATCTGATTCAATAGCATGAATTCTCATTTTGTAAATTATATTTACAGATAAATGGGAAAACTTTACATCCGCTATATTTAAAAAAGTTTTGTGAGCTGCTTTGAATTAAGAAAATCCAGACATAGCATATAGGCCCTCATCAAATCGACAAATGATAGATCTGTATAAGACTAATAATCTAATAAATGTCATAACACAGAACTGGGATACAAAGTCTAAAAATTAGTTGATATGATAGAATCCCTTCAAGATGGAAGAAAATATGACAGTGTTTCATGTTTTGTAGAAAAAGCAATTAATGAATCGCTTTGGTCACAAAGGGTATGAAATTCTTACGAAAATGAAGGCCTCTGTGCTGAAAGTTATTGAGGCTCTTTTGGCTATGGGTGATTTACCTCAGCACATGCAGATCAACCATTACCATTAAGAGAGCTGCAACCTATAGATAGTGAACCTTTTGGAGCCTCCAGAGAAATAGTACAACAGGCAGCAAAAGTAGGTATTGACCCAGCTGGGTCTTTGGCAAATATAGCGTCCTTTGAGACAGTGATGAGTAAAATAAGCAGAAAAAAAAGCTAAAGCACCTACTAAAAGTGAACCAAATAGTCCAAAGGAGACAAAATCAGAGATACAAAAAGAGAAGAAACCTAAATGTATAGTTGAAATTGTGAAATCTTTGCCAATGAAACCCACCCAGACTCTGTGACATCTTACATCACTACCATCAAGTGGAGGTGGAAAGTCCTGTATGGTAGTCCTGTGGGCTATCATTACCAAAAGAAAAAGGTGTAAAGCCTTGTATATAGTCCATGCGACCAAGACAACCTCCATCTTGGTCTGTATGGACAACAATAATGATGCCTCAAAAGTGGTTGGGTGGCAGGGACTATAGGACCATGGCCTGCAAGCAAAACTATATCGGAGGAAAAACCCAGGCTGGAATTAAGAGGCGTTCCTCATTAATGGAATTCAACCGAGTTGGTAAGGTTTTTATAGGGATAATAACCTGAGAAGTTGGATCCCATTCCGATGATCATGGATGACCTATGGCCACCATTCCCTTCAGTGGCTAGAATTGGTCTTACCAAGAATTAGGTGTTGGAAGTGCACCAACAGTTTGGTTCTTGCTTCTGGAAACTGGGAGCTTAGATGGAGGATGGTGGGCTATAAGCTTTAAAAAATATGTTGACGCTCCGTGATGCAGTAGATGCCTAGGCTACAGCTACGCCAAGGCCATGTAATCAAAGAATGCCTGAAGCAAAAAGAACAGGCTCGCCCTTCCTGCATTGATTGCGAGTGAGTGAATGCTTCCATTGTTCAAAGGAAACAAAAAGCAGATAGTAGGAAATGCCCTGTGCATCTAGAGTGGGCCAAAGGGATAGCTAAAAGGACCTTCTATGAATAAGCTTACCATCCTCTAACTCAAGGGCTGTCAGTGTATAGTGGAAGACGGACTTCGTGCACTCTCCCAACGATACATCGTGGTGGCCCAGAAACCGCGCTGCTGGGGGTACATGGTCATGGGGTTTGGCCTCACATCAAGAGTTATAGCTCTAAACAGTGGAGAGAGAAAGCCTAGGGCTACCATAGTGGTTACTAACCCAAACATCGATATGATGGATCTGAGACAGTATATTATGGCTGTTTCCGTCACTTGCTATTTCAAGTAGGGTAATATTGCTTTTATGCTGGTATCAGTTTACCTATCTGATAGCAATGATATCGACGAAGAAATATCCACCATGGAGATGATTACGATCACCAGGAATGTGATCATAAGTTCAGATACCAACTCCTAGAACATGGTCTGGGATCAATTAAACAAATAGAATTTCTCTAGCACAAGGAGGCAGACTAGGATTGATGCGACACTGACAATGCCATTAATAGACAATTGCATCGTTGATTGGACCCACCTATCTGAGATGAATTCTGACCTCCTAGCCATATCCTTTAGGTTGGTGGAAAATATGAAAAGTTTGCACAATTGAAAAGGGATATAAAACTCAAAGATCAAACAAGAATGCCTTCCGGTCAACACTGGAGGAAAATTAGTTGATGAAGGACAAGATGACCAAACAGATGACCTCGATTATAGAGTGTCTAGGATCACTGATGTCATCCATGGTGGCACAGAGGAATCCCTGCAGAAATGGAGGGTGGGGGCTCGACCTGTCCCAGGGTGAACACCGACCTTAACTTCCATGAAGAGAGCTCTATAAGGCCCGGCGGTGGTACCAGAAGTGTTGTAGTGAGGAAAGGCGCACTCCACTTCATGACAAGTACAAGTCCAAGTCGAGAGCATACTGAAACAAAATGTGCTCCTGAAAGAGGAAGTCTTGGGGGACGAGCTCAATGTCTAAGAATCATTCAAGAACCGGAGATACTGGAGTATCCCTTACAGAGTGGCTCTTGGTAAGTTGACTCCAAAGCAGGTCATAGTTGCGTTTCAATGCATCTTTGGATTGCATTGAAACACAGAACTACCCTGGCAACCACTCTGGAGGAGTTTATTGCGGAAACTTATCCCGGAGATGATCTGTCCCAAGATTATTAAGAGGAGAGATACATAAGATGCACTATGATATGCCCACCAGGTACAGACTTGTGCCCACCAAGGGACATATGGGATCTTCATGCTGTCGTGGATAGACAAAAGATTGGTCGTGCTCCTGGTTTAGATTCGATTGATGTAGGCAATTCTTAGGAATAGTATCCTGGCATAGTAGGAATAGGCTGTTGGTGTTATTCAATGATTGCCTAGATTGCATAAATAAGACATGCCATTAGCCAAGTCTTATAGGGTTGCAAAAGTATGAAGCTCCCAGTAACTAGTATGACCTGTTGAGAAGCTACCTATAGAACCGGAAACTGAATATACAAGGTAGTTTCTTTGAAGTGCAGGATTCTGTGAAAGAGGATACCTGCAGGGCTTAGTCCTTGGTCCAGGCCTATGGAACATGGTATTCGACGAGTTTCTGGAATTACTGGATGAGGAGCGGTTCTTCGCCACAGCGTATGCAGTCGATTTGGCAGTTGTAGTGGCGTTGAACAGCAGAGCTAGGTTAAAAGAAGAAGCTGAATGGTGCAACAACATAGTTGGAGAATGGTGCGAGAGAAAGAAGCCAAATATCGCCAAAACTCAATTCATTCTATTGAGGGGTAAGACTGACAAGGCCCACCACATTACTCTCTATATACAGGGAGAAATGGTACAGCCAAGTGAAGTTGTCACCTATAAGGGTAAGGACTAGCAAAAAGTTTAATTTTACTCCACATTTGGACTATTTGAGAAGTAGGGTGGCCCTAGCCCTTACTGGATTTAGCCACTTTGGAAAAGCCTTTTGGGGTCTTAAATACCCATCCACATCAGCAATTTATATAGGAATGATCCTGGGTATCCTGAAATACATGTCTCCTGCATAGAGTCAGTACCTCTCACACCAACAGAAGAGATGGTTGGTAACGATTCAGGGGATGGCTCTGTTGCGAGTCACTAGAGCATCACAGTGTCTCATGAAGTGGTAAAGGTCTTAGGCAGAACTATTCTGATTAATCTTCAACTACGTTAAGACTATTTCAGGCATAAGATGAAGAGAGAAGGCTTGGTGGATCTACTGTCAAGTAGGTCAATCTCAATCTCCGAGTGAGAGTCAGTGAAGACCCAAACAGAACATCAATCTCCTAGGCCCAAGTTGTAGGGTACCAGAGACCGCCGAGCATATCTTGCTTTTCTGTACCACCTATAAGACACTGAGGGCCAAGTTGCTGAGGGAGACAGGGCTCTACATTCTATAGGAGCCTGATCTTCCTCAGCTAATGACCTAAGAAAACTACCCATACTACAAGAACTTTGTGTACAGGTGGAAGAGAAGAAGCTCCACCAGAGAGGATAGAAGAGGACAGTGAAATGTAGAGTAGCTAATGTAAGAAGACGAAGCTCTGTGTGCAGCCAGAAAATAAGAAAAATACACATATACATATATATAATTTCCTTGATTGCAGTAGTGAATAGTTATGCATGCTTATTTAGCTATGCACTACGGCAAACAGTCGTATTGCCTAACAAGCAGAGTAGAATTTTAAATAAATAATAGTAACATAAATAGTTTAGTTAACATGAACAATCAACAATTTATATTTTGTTTTGAGTATAAAAATATTTCCTACCATTAAACCAGTCTGACAGAGCATGTAGTGTACAGTCTGCGCTACATCAGTGGCATGTAAATTATTGTGGTATGGATTACGAAATTTACAATAACCTTCTTCAACTTTGGTTAAAAAATTCTCTAAAGTTGTTGGTACCATCTGAAATTAAAATAATTATTAATAAAATAGAATAAAAATAGCTTATAATACTCATTATTAATGAGGATAGTTTTACCTTAAACTTATGGAAAAGTCCGTATCTGTTTAGTAGATCGTAGCTAAGGTATTTAATTGGCTGACGATTTGTTGCATCATTTAGTCCAAATACATCAAAACTCCATTCATCCAATGTCTAAAAATAAGGAATAGATATGCTAATGCTTTTAAAATAAAAATGGAGTTAAATTTATAAATTAATTAATTGTTTTTCTATTTACCCAATATATGGTATTTTGTGGCATGTGAGGGAAAAAGAGGAAAGTTTTTCTACAGGTAAAAATCCTATTCTAACTAGAATGGGAAGGTTGAGATCCATCCTATGGATCTGCCAAGAAATAAATTTCAACACACCCACTCTGGATTCAAACTGTTATACTCAAGCTTGCTATGGTGATGATGCCCTTATACTTTTAACTATCATGGCCATAATTTTAAATGCTTGATTTTTAATTAATTGAATTATCTGTAGTTAATATTCATGTTCAAAAAACAATATTAAATATCAGAATAGCATCTATAGCTTTTAAAACTTGTTCCATAATGAGAAACTGTATTTGGATCAGTGAAATAGACAAGAGTTTTTAAGAAGCATGATGCTTAAGCATGTAATCATGTATTGCTCTTCCAATTTGGTAGTTACTGCAGAAATGCTAATTCCAATAACTTTACAAGCAAAAGAATTCATAGTTTGTAGAGATTACTTCTTATTGACACTAGGGAAATAGACCTTTTAAGCCTATACTTACTAAAATATATATTTAAAAAATAAATAAAAAACAAAATAACCTTAAGAACTTTGACAACATTAGGTGGAAACTGCATAAGAGCTGAGCTGGTGACCCTGCGGTAGATTCTGTCGACGAATATACCTGCCCGAATAGCATGAGCAACAGACTTGAACTTTGGTTTTTCTTCACTACGCCTCTTAGTAGGTCCAACCTGACGAGTGAAAGTCGCTGTCAGCCATTCCCTAACTTCAGGAGGAACTGCATCTGGCTGAACTTCTGACAGCTCATCGTCATCATCTGCCAGCCTCCTATTACAAAAAAGTCTTATCAGTACACCCTAAAAGTTGCCGCTGTGCATCTTAAATCATACCTCTCTAATGCAGGCTCATCACTGTCTTGGTATACGTCACTTACAAAATCATTTAGAAAAGCAATTCAAAATATATGAAAAGAAAAAGAAATCTACTCAATGAAATATTTTTTATTTTTTCATTATATATTTTTTTTCTTATAAATAAATACTACTAATTTTAAATATTGTTCCTTAATTTTGAATACTCACATACTTGATTCCAAGTTCACTGAACTCTGGCCATCATAATAAATGAGGAAAATAATAAATCAATGAAAAACAAAAACCAACAAACATAAAGAAATCAAACATAAAATGCACATATTAAAAAGAGAAAATATATATTTTGACTAAATCGTGTAGTGACTCTTCATGCAGTTATGCAGACTGATACAACCATGCAAATAGAAAACAAGTACATCAAAGGAGGACACAATCATCCCGGCTATTTAGAATCATTTTAGAACTTCAATAAACTTTTGCCATATTTAGATCTTTTTCAGCACCGCGATAAATGCAAGTAGTTTTAAATTTTCTAAAAAATAATGATGGAAATAAATTAATAACATATTTTTTACTATTTGATCACCTTTGTGGTGATAACTGATTATAAACAACAAAATTTTATTGAATTAAATGTTAGGCATAACATAAATTTAATAACACACTTAAGAGATTATTTGATATTTAGTTTGTCTGTAATTCCATCTTAGTCCCAAGATTAGCTTAGAGAATGCTGAAAATATCGCTATCAACAATGTTTTCTACTATCGATGAAAATGATCTTTTATAGGACAATAATTTTCAATTATAATCTGAGTAAGCAAAAAAATAAATAAATAAAATAAAAAATAGGAAAAAAAAATTAAAATAAATAAATGAACATTCCTTGATTTCATACTTAAAAACGGTCAATGAAGCTCATTTGTATTTTTTTTTTCTGAAATGAAAATGATACCATCCTGGAAATTTGTTATCAAAGAAGTTTTTTACAAAATGTAATCTTCATTAAATGTCTTAATTTCTCATTGATATTCATTCTGATGAGTTAAATAACTGGTAAAGTTAAAGTAACTTCAAGACATTAAAAAATTCAAAGTAAATTTTTAATCACTATTTTTTAAAAATAAGTATGTACTTATAAATTAATGCACGTAATTTTAGAAAACACCTATGTTTATTTGCATTAGTATATTAAATCATAATATACTTTTTGATTTTCATAAAAATAATCATACATGGAAAATATTTTCCTACTTGATTGTGTTATTGCATGCTTTGTTTCAGAAAAATAATATGATAGTTTTTACCCACAAACAACTGGTATAAATTCTATGATTATGAATATGTAATGAAAACGTGCGAAAGAGGTGAATCAATTAAGATAGGTTTTTAATGACATCTAGTCAGTAGGTCTGCTCTAATAAATGTGTTCTTTGAGTCATCATTGGTTTTGAAATGTCCAATACAAGTGGATTGATGAAGGAACAAAGTAACAACAAAACATGCAGGTCAAGGAAGAAGATTTAATTTTTCACTAATAAACAAATGGACTTCACTTCCAATTGTTCCTTTCTATAAATTTTTACAAATAATAAAATAATTTCTTTTGGTGGTTTGTTGTAAAAGATTATTTTTTCTATTTATAATAGGTTCGTTGAAATTAAGCCATGACAAGGTTTCCTTCATTTTGTAAATTTATGATAGTAACATACTGTATAAAAACATATTTTTTGATATAAACACTGTTTAACTAATAAACAAATCTTTGTATTTTGGTTGTATTATGTAAATAAATTATCCATATTCATCTATTGTTCATCAATATTTTAATTTTTAATTGTAATAAATTTTATTGCAGTAATACTATTATTTTACTTTGATTTTACCTTGAATTAAGACATTATCATTCATAAGTTATTTAAAGAGTATAAATTAACTGAGTGTTAGAGTATGGTTTCATAATCGGGAGTGCTATTTATTACTGCATGATAGAGACCTCAGGATATGAAGTCCCTATTATAATTTATAATACGTTCTTATCAAGTTTACATTGGATTGGAAAGCACTGTTTTTAATTTTTTTTTTTTTTATCCCTTTTTCAAAATCTGTTCATAAATTGATTATTACTTCTTTAGGATTATTCTAAAAAACTTTTCCTTGACCTAAGATTAAACTATTTATAATTAAATATCCTCAAGAAGAAATAAAATAATTAAATGATTCTTTATTTTTATTTTTTAAAGATGAATAACAGATAAGGAAGACAATTAGTCCATTTGTCTATTTAACATGCTCTAAAAATTGGAGGGATATAAATTTGAGATGGAATACAACAATTATAAACTCAACACTCGAATTACACACTAAAGAAAGGACTCCAAGGTGGGTTTACTTTGACAAGTAGTACATAACGTGCAGATGCTGTTGCTGCAAAACAAACAGTTTAGTTAAAGAGAAGGTAAAATATGAAACTGATGAAGAGAGTTAAGACAAAGTGATAGATATAGAGAAAAGAAATAGGAAAAGATAGGTCAGAAAGAGTGATGACGGTTAAAGAATCCTACCTCCTCAAAAGCATACTATTCCACGATATCTTTATTAACAGGCATAGGATATAGCGAACATAGTGACATATAATAACACTTTCACGCCAACAAATTATTCCTTGTCAATCTGTATCTGACAGTATAGGTTGCATAAGTGAAATAATTTTACCAATACAGATATCAGAGTCACCAAAATAAATGTCTATATTCAGTTCAAAAAATATATTTGATTATTTTAAAATAAATTTCCTATACATTTACACTGATGTATATTTTGGTAAAAAAAAAAAAAAATTATGAAAGATGCAATCATTTTGAATATTAAAATCATAATAAATTTTATTATTCAAATAGTATTTTATTATAATTATTCTTTTAAATAATTATGATATTATTTAATTATTCATTATTAGCTTATTCCAAATAAAAAATGACTTAATGTTGTAAAAATTTTATTATATGCTAGGGAACTTTTTTAGTTCTCAAATTCCGGCTAAATAGCCCCACTGGTACATGTATTAGAACTGGTGAGGAAACAAGTCTGGTATGTAGGACTACTGGAACTTTTTATCAGCCATTTATGCTGTTTAGAGGTTTCTACTTTTGATATCATCACCAGATAGTGAGTCTATCCAAATTTATTTCATGGGACTGAATGTGGACTGAGACCACATTGGGAAATTGAAAAATAAAAAAGTTTATAAAAGAAGGCAATTTTGTTGAAACCTAAACTTTATCACCAATGAAACCAAGAGACAAGTACCCACTTTATTGAGGCTGGATGTGCTCATAGGTATGGTCTTCTTGTCCTGGAGATAATTAATTAAGTTGGAAAAATTAAATTTCTGCCTCAGGTAGATTTTGGACTTGGGAGTTAGGAGTTTTAATTGGTTCACCTTCCCCCGAGTTACTTTTCTCTTATTACTAATTTTTATAGACTTACAATTTTACTAAATTTATTTAATTAGAATTATTGTTCTTTTTTAAGTTTTTTTAAAATTCCTTTTATAAACATGTAATAATTAATAAGGAAAAACAAAATCTGATTTATTTAAGTTTTAAATTTTTGGTTAATATATATATAAACGTTTTTCTAGATACATGTTGCATTAATATTTTTAAATAGACTTTAAAAGTTTGGTAAATCTATATATGTCATATTAATTGCAATAAGAAATAATATTAGAACAGCAGCAGACAGATTGACAAGGGAGGAGGGTACTGTTTTGTTTTTGACAAATGTTTGTGAAAGGACCTTGAGGCCCAGACCGGTGTCCTCAGCCGCCGCTGCACTCGTGGTTGGTTGGTCGGCTGCTCTTTATTCTTTTCTTTCTCTCTGTCTCCTTTTAGTTCTTCCTCCTTCTTCCTCGGCTCCCTAAGGCACAGCCCTCCTTTACTTACAACACATACATAACCTAACAATTGGCCACATAGTGCCGTATGTCTCCCGTAATAATTTATTTTTTCCTACCGAATTCCTACCTACTTTCACTTGATAATTCCATTAAAATAAAAAGAATATTCTTATTTATAGCACAAGTCACACTAGAATAATTAGCTTGTTTTTTTTTTTTTCATTCTGGATTACTTGAATTGATGTAATAATTCTTCTAGTGTAAAAGTCTAAAGTAAGGGAATTAATGTAAAATTTCTTATGAACCATTATTTATTACCTAAAAAAGATTTTTTATACATGGCACTCTACTTTAAAAAATAAAAACAATGAAGACCTATTTACATCTGGTACCATCTAAACCAAATAAGTTTATGTCATGACATTTGTTGGCATTTAAAATATAGATTGGATAATATTGTTTCATTCCTGAGGGTCTAATTGGTTCAGATTGAAAGGATTTTATAACTTTTAGTAATAATAATAGTAATATATATAGATTTGGGTGTCCCATACTTTCCTTCCTTTTTCTTTATTTATTGTTTAATGTTAATTTATAGTTAGAGTTATAAATGAACTGTTTTGCTCTATTATCTTCTTTCATCTATCAGGAAGCCTCTTATACCCTTTTTCCAAAATCGTTGAAAATTATTTGTAAAATATTCTTCGAGATGTGTTTTTATTTCGCTTTTGGATTTCTGACATTTATCATGGAGAGAATTTTTCAACGATAGAAACAAGTAATAATCAGATGGAGTAAGGTCTGGAGAGAGTGCAGGATGAGGTAGAAGGTCCAGATCAAACTGTCAGAGATCCGAAAGTGAAATAAAAACGCATCTCTGTGAATATTTTACAAGTAAGTTTCAATGATTTTGGAAAAAATGGTCTAAGAGGCTTCCTCAGAGATGAAAGAAGGAAATAGAGCTGAAAAGTTAATATAAATCACAGTAAATCAACCTTAAAGAAAAAGGAAAGAATTTATGAGACACCTTAATATATATACAGAATACAAAGTACTTTAAACCAAATTTTATGCAGAAATAATTGGTGAAAGCAATTTTTGTTTTTTGTTTTTGTACAGAAGATCAGTACGATACAGATCATTATGGAATTAAAATGTATGCATTCAAGTTAAAAAGTAAGAAATCTTCAACAAGATAAATTATTTTATTTTTTTCATTATTTTTATTGAGTAAGTGACAAATTCTCTTTTCAGTAAATAGAGGATTCACCTGCCCTACCATCCACAGGTGATTAATGTTGTTCTCTTCAGTAGATCATAATCTCCACTAATAAGGTAACTCTTTTTAATAAATAAATGATCTCCACTAATTTATTATTTATGAAAGCTTTGTATCTAACATGCCAATTAAAAAAAAAAAAAAATCAAAATAAATTAAATGTTCTGGTTGGTTATATTTCTTCAAAATATTTGTTTTGATTTTCTTAAATAGAAGAATATTGAGCATAATAAACCTGTATTTATGAATGCCATATATAAAATATATAACTAAAAATTAAACTAGATTTCAATTTCCCTTTCTTTAGATTTACGTTCAGTATTTGCCTAAATTTGCTCATATTATAATGGATGTAATAATTTAAGAGAAATCATAAAGAAAAACGAAATAATAAAAAAGAATTATTATGTGTAATTGTCAAAACTGTAAACAGCAAATTGTTCTTTATTGGTATAATGAAATAGTTCATTGACTGATTTTGTTTGGGTGATTTAATCAGTTGGAATATTTGTTTTAATTTGAACTTTTTTTCTTGATCATATGATCAAGGTAAAAAACAAGAGAAAAAAATCTGAATATTCTTTTTCCTCATTACATTAGCAAATGATTAGCATTAAGTTTGTTCACATTAATATTATACTTACTGAAAATATAATCTTTTCTTTGCTATTTAAATAGAAATAAAGAACATCAATCAGATTTTGGTTACTGATGTGACTTGTCATTAAATAATAGTTTTGTTGAAATTTTTTAACTAAATGAAATGCTGAGGATTGGTAGTATATAATAAATAAATGTTTTATTATATTAAGGAGATATGACCTATAATAGATTTGGAATGAGGCTGTAGTTGGTGTGAGAGAATATAGTTAATTTAAATTATATCAGAAGCAACCTAATAATAATATCATATAAAAACAAAAGTAAAAATAAATAAACTTAAAAAAAATCTGCTTGATTTTTTTTTTTTTTTTGTAATATGTACTGTTTGTTTGCCTTTTTGATATTTTTCAAATAATTAATAATACAGGTACATTAATGAGCTCAACACCACACTCAATCACTGCCACAATTGACAAGATTAAGAGATATATTTATCAACTAGGTTTTTTTGAACTTGAAATGTTCTTACTGAATTGTAAAAAAAAAAGCATTAATCATAGTAGATGATAATAAAACAACAAAGGTTTGATAAACAATAGTCAAACTATGGTTTTAATGATTTCAATGAAATAGAGTTTTCAGTTTTTATTAAAATTATTGGTTGAAAAGAGGGAATTGACTTAACCCAAATAACTAACACTAAACGAAGCATAAACATAAACACAATATCCAAAAGATCATTTCATGTTGAAAACATGCTTTGATTCAATGCAAAATACGAGTGTACTGCTATTTTTACCCTCGAGTCTGTGATTTAAAAAAAAAAATCGATTATAATTTCCAGGAATGAAATGGTAATAGTTGGGTTTTCGATTTATTTAAAATTTGGTTCTTGACAAATATAAAATAATTATTGTAAAATAAAAAGACATTAAATTTACTATTACATATCAAAAATATTGAATAACTTGTAATGTTTAAAATTGAATGATGTTTAAAATTAGAAGGCACATAGTGTTGTGATTATGACAATAATGTAGGAATTCTAATAATAAAAATTGGATACTTTTAAAAAAAATATATTTAAAATATGTTATGAATAGTTTATGAAATTCAATGGACAATCATTAATATTGTTATCACTGAATAAAAATTGTCATAAACATATTATTTTCAAGTGAAAGTATATAATAATTTATTTAAATAATTAATGTAATAAATATTATTTTTTTTTATAAACATTTTTTATATGAAATATCTTACTCATGAAGATCACATACTCCTTTCTTTCATGCTATTTTTACATTTACATACACACTTTCATAGACCTAGTATTTGATAACTGCTATAGAACAAGAGTAAAGTATAGAAAAGATAGGAAATTTAGAAACACACATACAAACGTGCTTTCATATTCACTAAATCGTGTATGACACACATTTAGAAAAAAAGTATTTGCATCCAAATACATAACATCACATCCACTCAACAATGTATAATATTTTACATGGTTTACCAATATCCTTATTTTATCTTGAACTCCTCAATGCAATTTATTATTTAAGGTGCTTACACACATAACAAAGAAAGATAGTGCAGTTTAAACTCATTTAGAAAAAGAAAAGATTAAGAGTTAATGATACCTACATAAATAATTTTTAAAACTCGTTACCATTCTATAGAAAGTAAGTATAAATAAATCATACTTCTTTTTTTAACTCATATGAATAAATATAAGTTATTCATTGACAAACGACTCCAATTTTATGGTCATGTAGTAATAGTAAGTAGTCATCATAAGTCATTCAAAAGGTGATTCATCTCTATATTAGTGGGTGGTAAAAGTTTATGTTTTGTTTGGTAAAATGTTATAGTAAAGTTCATGTTTTTAATATAAAACACCTAAAATAGATGAGAAATAAAAAAGAAAAAAGTCAATTTTTTGCTAAAAATGTAGCAAAAATTATTGAAATATGCTTACTGGAATAGCCAAAATAAGCAGATTTGTTTGTAATATGATGTATTATAAAAAAATCTTTAGCTGAAAACGAATAAAATTGAAATATTTGTAGCAAAAATTACAATTTACCTATAAATGTCCATTGTAAAAATGTCCTCGCTAAGTGTAGCAAACAAAAGACAACTCAAAAGGAGTGTTACCAAAAAGTAGCACTGCACATTGGGAGCCAAAATTAAAATTTCTGGCCAAGCTCTGAAACTTACTATTTTTCTACTTTGTGAGATGCTAATTACAAAATAAGTATTTTGACATTTAACATTTAGAGAACTTTTTTGGGGAGGGGCAGGGGTTGTTCTCAATCTTTGAACATCACGTTTTAAACAACTTTTTGAGTTTTTTAGGGTGCAAAAGTTTTTTTTGAGTTTTCTTTAGAATGACAAGGTTTTTATTTACAGATTGCATCCACAATTTGTATGTTATTATAAAGTAAAACTTAAAATTAGATGAAAAAATTAGTTTGAAATTAATTTTTAATTGTTTAACTAAATGTGGAATGTAATAACTTAATAAATATCTTTTTCCAAATATTCTTTATTATGATGTCATACTCCTACATTTTAGTTTTGGAGCTGAATTAAATTATTCAATAAATAACTTGATTAAACCTGAACGACCCTGGCCAGATTTAAAATTTGAGCACTCCTTGGTCCATTTTTGCAGGCCTTTTTCAACAATCAGGACAATTTTCATCAATAAAATAGTCTAAAATTACCTAAATCAAGATTAAATTAAAACAACCTCAGTTTCGTGGTAATATATGCATTCTTCATTTAAGATGTTATCACTGGGAATATGTGCTCCTGGGCTGTCTATTCAGTCTAGTGTGAGATGCCCAGAAGTAGTTGGCATGTTGGAAGTTGCGCCATCAAAATTTTGATTGCACGTTTTTACAGGATCTTAAATTTTTGACGAGGCACACTCATTATGATGGGATTATGAATTTTTGGAGTGAACCATATTATCTCCTACCATTTCTAACCATTCCATCCCTAACCACCCCAAGCAGAATAAATTTTGAGGAACATTCAAACTAGAAAACAATGAAAAAATATGGGACAGACCAAAGTAAGAGGAATTGTACATGAACTACAATTTTTCTAATTCTATTTCAATAGCAT